GGAAGGGAATGTGGCCTCTTCCGTACGAAACGGAACCGTACGCTTTCTCTCTGGCCGTCCTGATGTGGGCGGTATTATCAAAGCGGAGGTGCAAGAAGCCAAGATCAGTTCTGGTCGACTGGCAGTGCTCACCTGTGGTCCAGCTCAGATGGCGGATGACTGTCGGCAAACGGTGTATGAGGTCATGAAAGATGGATTCCAAGACATTGAGTACCATGAAGAGGCCTTCGGATGGTAATGCAAATATTTTCCGACGGATGATGGTGGGGCACATTGATTGATAACTGAATGGATCGATTAGATAACAGGAGGGCTGATCATCGGAAGGATCAGGGCATGCATGCAATGTTCGCTGTTGGGATGTGATCCCATTGGATCAGTTAATCTTTCATATTGATATACTTGTTGTCTTATAATCAGTTACTATACGGTCCTTCTCCAAAAACACACAACATAGCATATATGTCGTGGTTGTCTTGCAGTAAATTATTTATGCCGATCTAACCCTTAATATACTAGTATAGAAGGTATATGCTACCAGATGATGCTGATAGCTTTCCTAGTCAAATGTCAGCAAAACCCATAGTCTAACTCTTCTAATCATGCTTCCTTCTTTCCCTAACCAGAAGACTAATATATAAGTATCTGTAGGCCCCTGGGGTTGGCATCTTGTCTCTAGGGCAAAGCAGGGCGGTCAAACACGTGGTGTGGAAAAGGAGTCGGCAGACATCCGAGTCTAGTTTTTGCTTCTGTTCCTTTTTTCCCCACACTCTTTCGTCTCCTATCCTCTTTCTCTCCTCGTCTGGTGCCTTTGATGCTTAATGATCAAAGGACAATCCGAAATTTCTCAATGAGACTGTACCTCGTAAACTACTATCTGCCACACAAATGGTGTTCCCAGGAAGGCGAAGTACCGGCTGCTACGTTTGTCGCGAGCGGAAAGTCAAGGTGAGTTGATTGCCTAGAGTCGACGACAGCCATTGAGATATTGACTTCCAAACCAGTGTGACGGTGCGCGGCCAGCATGTGCGCGCTGCACCAAGTTTGGGAGAAAATGTATCGGCTATCCCGACTCGTTTAAGTTCCGATTCTATGATAGCACGTCCTTTCAGAATGAGGCTTCAACCCCACTAAGACCTGGACATGTCCGAGCGACCCCCGCTACGGCCCAGGAAGGGAAACGGAGGGATCCATCAGCTGTAACTGTACAGGCAACAGGCCATGATCACCGAAAATCACCCCTAAAGTTGCAATCGCCCTCAGTGCCTCAGTGTTTGTCGATTGCTTCCTGGGAGCTCTGGCCCTTGTCCTACTTTTTTCATCAACATGTCCTTATCGTCCATAGGTCTCCCTGTGGCGGCCATCTGGCGTTCCTGCCTGATCTCTACCGGGAGAAGGGTTCCGAGCCTTGCCTCAAACATGCTGTGCTTAGTGTCGCGTATCTGACCTTGTTTAATTCGAATCGTTCTCACCTTCTTTGGGCCCAAGCTAGGACTAACTACAGCACCGCACTGGTGGCATTAGCAGCGTCTTTAAACACACCGGAATCAGCTGCGAGAGATGAAGTATTTGCGGCCTGCTTGCTCCTGAGCATGTTCATAGTATGTCCCTTCTACCCTAAGTCAAGGCCTCATCCAATGGTGAGTTAACCATGACTTAGGATTTAAGCAATGAAAGAAAGAACTCGTTGAACGCCCACATTCCCGGTATCCACGCGCTGATGCAGCTACGGGGAGTCACCTCTTTGCGTGGTAAATATGGCCGAGTTTTATTTGCATGGGCATTTATGCAATCGGTAAGTTAAATGAAAGAATTGTCAACTTTTGCGTCACGAAGTTCTAAAATAGTATACGGCTAGCAAATACAAGCCATAGCTAGCAACGACTTCGGATATGGATGCTTACCGGCGGCTTTAAGTACGATGGAAAACTCTGACAGTGTCTGCCGTGCTGGAATTGTAATCAGCATGATCTCAAAATTCTGTGCATCTGTTAGATACTTCAAAAACTACATGCAGTTTCAGTTTCGGAGTGGCCATGCACCAACTACCGAGCCCTCGTTCGAATTGTTAGAACAAGCAGGTTCTATCATGAGTCAGATCGACAGCTGGCACGCTCGGCTTCCACGTCACTGGAAAGCCCAGCTGAAAGATGCAACGCCTGGTGGTCATTCCGGGGAACGTATCTCAGCTTCCGAGGATTCCTGGACGACATGTTTCGTGGCCATCATTAGTACGACCCACTTGTTTTTTTACCTGCAATTTCTCGAATACTGTGAATGCGTCTCCCCAAACCTGGAAGCCCTGAAGGCGCTCCCAAATGAAAATTCAATCTACTACCCCCTATACGGTATTGGCGGTCGGATTCAGGATTCAATCAACGTCATATGTTTGTCGGTGTCATATGCACTGGGAAGCATGAATGTACATGGGAGATTTGAACCCTTCCACAATACCAAGCAAGGAATTGGGTACAACCTTCTCTGGCCTATGTCGCTCGTGGCGACCTGTCAATTCTCCACGACAGAGCAAGCTCGACTTTGCCAGCAAGCACTGGAGTACACCTGGTCGACAATGGGTCGTCTTGATAGATAATCCTGAATCAAGATCTTGAAGAGAATGTGTTCAGCACGTGGTAAGACATAACCATCAGACAGCTGGTTTCTTGATAGACTACTCGAATTAAATGTCGCTCGTCGCTGTATAATAGCACATTGACACAGGGACAATCGGTACCAAGACCATGCACCCTGCGGTGAGATAGCCTATTGGCTGAAGCGGGTCGATGGTGGGATTTTCTTCAAAGAGTTCTATCGCCCTCGTCCTATTAATACTCGGCGATTCGGCTTGCTTGAAATCACCGACACTCACTCTTGGCGGGTGAGTCATGTATGAAATACGCAATTGATTGACGCCCGTTTGGAAGTCTGCAGTTCTGGCCGCAGCAAAGTATACCTTGAAGACTTAGCGTCTTCTGCAACAATGTACTGATCAGTTGTCAGCTCTTCCCAGGATTCATACAAAAGGTGACGAAACTGACATTTGCTGGCCTCTGGTAAAGCAGAAGAAACGCAGACTACTGTTCCTGAACAGCCAACCCAATCCTAGGCAGGGTCTATGTCACCTGTTGTTCATATGGCCTTACCGGCTGGGCTTCAGGCAAACGGTGACACTGAGGGGGGGGCAGGGCAATGTTAAGAGAATCTTAAAATGTCCAGGTATCAGTACCCTGCGTCATAAGCGGGAAGCCCTACGCAATTCTAGTCTTTCTCCACCACTAGTCTGATCAAATGTATGTGGCCAATGGGCAGATTAAATCAGAAGGTTCCACACGCTAGATACAGGTTGCGTCTTTTGAGATTTGGTGGACTTCTCTCCAAAGAGCTACGATCTACGGAGTGTATTGGGTCTCCAGCAACATAATTAGTTTGTCTCATTTTAGACATACCCAACGCTATATAAGTTAGGCACTCTCCGTTGCTCAAGTCAACTGGTAATCCACCCAAACGTTCATTTCTTACTTTCTGTCTCTCGTTTGATCTGGCTCTTCTATCTTCGCGATGTTGTCCCTCTTTTTCTTTACACCTGCTCTAGCGGCACCCGCGTTCAATAACTCGTCGGCTTGGGTTTGTGGCGCTGGTTCCTCGATCGGCACATACACCATCCGTGCGAATGACACCATTTGGTCCGTCGCTACCACTCTCAATCGTGGGATCTGTCCACTGGCGAGGTACAATCACTTATCTGACCCCGAGCTTCTTTATCCCGGCGAGGTTCTCTACATCCCCCCTGAAGCCTGCAACACCGACCCTACCGACACCTCCTGTCTCCTCAGTCTCGATAATTCGACCACCAACGATTGCATCTTTGGTGGTCCCCATACATACCGCACCTTTGAAGGGGACACCCTGCGCAAAATCGCTCTGGGCAAGTTCAATATTACGCTGGAGGCCCTGGAAGGCTCTGTTGGTCGCATGGCCGGTGTCTCGTCACCCGACGACACCATTGAACCGAACACATTCATCAAGCTCCCGCAATGTAATCCTAGCTCATGTGGAATCAGACCCCTGCAATACGTCTGGGGTACGTACAAGGATCTAGCGGAAGAGTACGGAACAACGCCGGGGCAGATCTTTGCTTTGAATCCGACTTTCAATCATAGTTCTACGGGACCGGGAGTTGGGGGATGGATTACGTTGCCAGTCAATTGCGGACTAGATAGGGAGGCGTATACCATTGTTTCCTAAGTTCTATGTATCATAACTTTGACAGAAAGGTAGCCATTCAACCGTCTGATTGACGAAGAACCGAAAATCCAGGCGGAGAAAATAGATAATACGTTTCAAACGTGCGATGTATACCCAAAGGCGACCGAGAATAACACACCGAAACAGGCATGATATCCGCCTAAGTCGTCGTCATGACCGGCCTTTCCTCGTCGTCTGTTCGAGCAACTACGCAACTCAAATGGATTTTTTTCTCCTCGGCCGTGAACTCGGCTCGGGGGAAATTACCCACAGGAGGGGGAGTTTGCGAAAGCCCCCACTTCGAGTCGCCCTAATTGCCGATGATCCACTGGGACTCCACCGCGTAGTCGATCCATACGCGATATCATCTTACCAGCCGTCGGCGTCACACTGAAGTCTGGAGGAAGTAGTAAGTCATGTTGCTCTGATATAATCAGTGGCAGCCATGTCCGCTTCCCGAGTAAAGACCACCTGGGGCTCGAGGAGGTATGAGAGCAGTTAACTAACACTAGAGATAGGTGTTGGACAATGGCAATTCTTATCTTGAAGTCGTGTACTATTGTAGGGATGAGGGAACCAATATATCATGATTGGTAGCGTTCATGGAGTTGAATAATATAATGCATTCCATCTTCCACATCAAATGATTAATCAGATCGTATTCACCTATAACTAACTCGAACTGCGTGATTCTATCAATTTCTCTTGCACCATCATTCACGTAGACAACTACTTCCGTCGTGTCAGAAAGTATATCAGTCCCATACAGGCCCCCAGTAATCATTCTCCCCCTGATACGCCTCGTCATACCTCTGCGGCCGGGGATGATGGTAATCCTCGCGTGATCCTTGCGGCCAGATCGGAATAGCACAGAATTCATCGTCACGGTACCCACGACATTCTTTCCACACCGTCCAGTCCAGATACCCCATCAAGTCCCGAATAGTAGAGATCATAGCCTGGGACTCGGTCTCCTTCCTGACAGCCATCAGTGTCGAGCATATCCGGTGATTGACAGCATACAACGCTCTGTGCGCCAGGGACGAATTGTCAGTGGGGAGCGGAACGAACTGCGTAGAGCAGAGCTTGATAGCCTGCTCGTCATCTTCGCTTCGAACATCGATGAAAGGCGCCATGAGGCGGTCAATCTGGGCGAGTATAAATTCACGAAGATCAGAATCACCGTGATGATGTTTCCGCCGGAGCAAACCATGTATAAAACGACCGTATTTCTCAACAATCAGGTCCGCGACGGCCTGCCAGTTTACTGACCGGTTACTGGGATCGTGAGTCAGCACCAAATGCGTCAGGTCATCACGGATAGGCTGCAATTCTTCGGGCGACAAGTGTGTCAAACGCGGCAATTTGCTATCTCCCGGGAACAAATCGAGATCGTAGCTATAGGCCGTGACAAAATGATCGTAGTTCACTCGAACCCGCTCACCCCCGATACTGTGGAACCGAGACGTGACTGCTCTCAATAGCTCACCGGGCTTACCCTTCGGCTTCCCTTTGCCATCCTTGTTTGGCCCCTGCTTCGAGAAACCAGGCTGTCTGACCTGGGTCACCCGCACAGGTACCAGGTTTACCTCAGGGTTGCATAGAATGATCTCAAACCCCGCCGCCATGCGAATTACGCCATCGATCCGTCCTTTCCACTCCGTCTGCGCAATACGACAGATGGCCTTCGCCCGCTGATCTTCCATCCGAACACCACCATGCAGGGTATCGTTGAACAAGATACGGTCCTGGGAGTCCAGGGTCCCAATCTGCGATTTGCCCGCCGAGGTCCCATCGATATAAACAAGGCGTAGCTCCTTGGAGGTTAGGAAGGTATGAAGGAACCCTGAATCATCCACAGGTGTATCCTCTGCCGCCATCGCATGCTGCAAATGCTGGTCCGGAAGCATGTCCGGAGACGGTCGTCGAGACGGAAGAGCAAAGACCATCGCATGGTCGGGTTCAAAGGCCATCCACCCGATCTTCTCGATAGGGTCTGACCGGGCGTTTCCGTGGTAGAGCTGGATGCCTCGGGGACGGTGGCTAGGAAGAATGACATGCCATTATGATGAAGCGACGAGCCCCACAGGCGCATTGAGGCGTGAATCGCGTTGAAGATATGATTTGCATTGTGCATGGCAGCACTGCCGGTCAGAAGGAGTGCTAGAGTTGAAAGTATTATGTTCGCATGCATGAGGATGATGTGTGTTTGGGATGGATGCTACGGGTCGTAAGTAGATGGTGCACCAGTGCCGTATATAAGCTGACACATAACACTATTATTCACTGAGAGTAGTCTAGTCCACACCTACACTTGCGCTTCTTCCTCTTTTATTTTTTTTGTTTCAACCCTTAAGATCGCCTCTTGCCATGGTCGAACCGTGGAATTCCTTAACGCCGAGCTCGGCATCAGATTCGGATATAGAAAAAGACGCTAGTACTAGTCCATTTACAGTCAGAGATATGTACTTCCATGATGGATAACGAGTGTATTGCTGCAAGTTTAATAGCCGCTAATCACATATGCATATTCCTTTTCTTCATCTGGGAATATGCATTACTGGGACGTCCATAAATAAGACAGAGCCAAAATGATGGCAGCACTCACTGTTGCTGATACCGGTTTCTAGTTTCAGTTCCCGAATGGCATCTTCAGATTTGAACGGGTAGACGATAAGCTGCTTCGGTATGAGGGCGGCGACTCGAAACAAGGAAAAACTGGAAAATGGGATACATATGTTGCAATGTACTTGTCGTTAATATACGTATAGTGTATGCTTTTTCTTGCTTGTTGGTCAGCATAGATCCGGCTAATTGCCTCTCGCGAGCGTATAGTTGATACTGTCCGACGAGACTCAACATAGTCAATTGCTTCTGACAGAAAGACTACAGAACCTATCCACATAACAAACGCGCATAAGGATATCAAACACAAGTACCCGTTCTAATCTAGCATGATCACCACTAATCAAAAGCTTGCTCTTTCTCCATATAGCTATGCACCGTAGAAGCCACCCCATCTATTAAGATCCATCGCTCCATATTCGAACAGGTAACGTTTGGTAATATCACAGCCCTGGAAAGTACCGTACCCTCCGGATGGTAGATTGTGCCGCAGTATATGGCAGTTGGATGATCGCCTCTCGCCGAGGGGTCAAAAACATATATCGCCCGGAATTTGTACGGCACCTGGCACCCCCCTTGAAAGACGCTATCCCGGAGAATAGGAAACTCTTGCCGGTGTTTTTGGCTCTGCTTTTTGCAGTCTGGATGTGAAAATTCAAAGCCCTCGTGATTACGGTAATTATGTGGATACGCCCCGTCCTCATCGGCCGCTACACTCCTGTCAGCGCCAGCTGCGGTTTGATTAGTTACATTCTGGGTGTATACCTTACACTTCACCGTGGCTCCTGCCATCTGCAAAATCACACCATAAGATACAGCTTTGTGGACATTAATTCCTTTCACCACGACGTTGCCTAGCTGCGGTTAGTGGATTCTCAATGACCTGATTGAACGATTTACCGCATTTCATATCAAAGTCTGGATCAAAGTCTATAAGATTGACGGGAGCCTCATTGGGGAGATCCGCAGCTGTTGCAAGTGGTACAATAGCCGTTGCGGAAGCGAGAGACGCGAGCCAGGGAAGTTTCATCTTGGATATTGAGACAGGTTGAATGTAGTTTAAAGATAACGGTTTGCAATAGTTCCGGCCGTGTGTTCAACATAAGACTGCTTTATGGACTAGTGCTATGAGAAGTAAATGGAGACTTATATAGAACGTTGAAGAGGAAGAAAACTCTTGATGCCATGCTCTTTCCTCCCCTGGACCTTCCCAATTCGCAGGCATGCAGTACTCTGAACATTTAGCATGTCCCACAAATTGACCCAACAGTCAACAATCGAGAGATTCATGAGAGAGCAAGCCCTGGACGAGTTAATGGGGTCTCGCCCTGGTGTTCATCCATGCTTTCTGATGTGGTGGCTGTAGTCATAAAAAGTGGTTAGAATTGCACTGCAGGATATCAACCCATGCCACAGCGGTAACTTTGAACTTGGTCATCTTCTAGGGGTTTAATATGGCGTTAACATAACAAGCAATTTGTCGTTATCGCTATGCAGTTTAAGTCAATTAGGATTATCATGTCTCTCTCTTAGGAGTGTGTGGTGACACCATGGCCCTTTGTAAAAAGAGAAAGAGAAAGGAGAAGGTGGTACAGAAACTTGTAGAGCAACCAGGCGGTGGAATCCATTGTGTAATTATTCTGGTTGCGTAGTGATATTGAATCTAATGGCTTCCAACCAAGGTCGAACAACCCCAAGCCACGCTAAACATGGATTGGTATACAATATCATTCCAAGAAAGATTTACAGTGAGATATTTTTCTCCTACCACATTCATTGTAGTGCATACAACAAAGAGAATCGCCTTTCCTATCCGTCCTAGCGAGCTTTGTGAAAGCTGCTTTGGCCACTCTAAGTGTCACGTCCAAGTACAACAGTGGCTGAGTGGCTGAGGCTCATGTACCAAGAGGCACAATATTTTGTTACATAATCTAAATGATGAGAGTGATATCATTTCAATTACTATACATTCTTTTTGTGCAGGTAGATCCAGGCTATCTAAGAGCCAACTAGCTATTGGAGTCGTCGAGAATGTCTCGTACACATAAGCAACTATTCTAGAGGCTGGTGAAGTAGTGGATAAAGATATAGACCGCGCATCATTTACCATACAGAATAAGCTGTGAGACTTTTACCATGTCTCTATGCCTCGTGTCTGTAGCAGATTCAAGGCTTTCAGATGAAAACACAGCCTGGGTAGGATGATGGAAATATAGGATCATTCTCAAGAAAATAAAGACTCATTGAAACATAGAAGATACTTTTCTTACTCACCTAACTCAATACGACTGGACCTTGTCAATAGCAGAGCACCTACTTCTTTTAGACGGAGCCAAGGTTTCTAGTCACACAATAATGGTATCAAGCTGACGAAGGTATGAGGGATATTTGAAGGTGACGTCCCCACTTCTAAAAGCACAATATATGATCTGCCAATTCGAAAAGAACATGGCTACTCCAGACTATTCTTTCTTCCCAGAGGGAGATCCTGTTCGAGATGAATGGTTTGAAGCCCCACTTCGCTTGTACCGCGGCCATAATGAAGAGCACAAAAAGATGCTAGCCGAAGAACTCACTATCCTCAAGGCATTTTATCATCATCTGATGACTGCCGAAAAAGCTGCGTACGCGATAACTCGGCCAATCTCAGACTCATCAGTGCCTTTCCTTAATACCTACGAGGATGACTCCATTGCTCTTTTTGGGCTATGGACATGGATTGTGAAAGCTTTGCAACAATGGCCTGCTTCTCGCATCCCTGACCTCGTCGCACTCCTAGATGCAATATCAAAGGTTCCCGATCTAATTCACCGTGGTGAAGCCGTTGATGACGAGTATAACCACATGGGATGGAATATTCTTCCTTACTTTGGCGCGATGTGGAGAGATGTTCATTGGAGGGTGCCAATGGATATTCTTGAGGATTATCCGGACACGGCGACAAGACTTCACAAACGGGGACTGTATATCAGAGCTCAGGATGTCGAATCACGACTTGTTGCGACAGGGATCTGGGATTTATGGAGAGCGATAGATTATGTGATATGGACGCTGGAGATGAAGCCCAGTCACGATTACGCGGAAGAAGACAGGAATGGAGCCCACCATCACGCTCTAGCGTTTCAAACCCTCAAGCTTGATTTTCAGGTTCCGGCGGTTGCCTGCTGGATTAAGCATAATGGGCAGAGAATGTATGAAACCATCGCCAGAGATGGGCTGAAGGGTAATCCAAATATCCCGACGGTGAGTATGCATTTTGACGAGCATGTCGGACGCTGGGCATTCTGGAAGAAACGATTGCTAGAGATCGCGAACGGCCCTGATGATTTTACAAGAAGAGGGGCACAGGTAGCTTTGGGATACATGGATGAGACCACAACCTCTCTGACGGATCACTAGTTGTCAACTAAACAAATTGATGAGTTAAGTAGTAATGCAGAATCGGCTGGACAGTGGCATTTAAACATTCTCAGCTCATCAGTCCTCTTTTTTCTTGTAGCCATTGATAGTACCTCCCTCACCTCCTTTTTGAACCGCAAGATATGCTCATCCAATTGATCATAGTCTTCCTTGTCTCAACAGCTCAATGCCTCACATTTGTCCAGGTACCCAGAAATTCACTCTACCAAAGCCGGTCCTCGACCACTCGCTCGAAATTGGTAGAAAAACAAGCTTCCCTTGCTTTTTTTTAATTTATTGTGAAGTAGCCGTGCGAACGTCGTTTTGCTGCTAGCGGATGTTCCTCTGACGTGGATGACGGGGTGTGATTTGCTGAGACTGATCAACTCGTTCGCTGTGTCCTGGCTTAAGACGATGGTTTCACTGTTGGCAATCATTACAGTTCAATATTGTGACATATGGTATGAAGCTGTAGGGATATGATCATACATTTCCGCTGCATATTCTTGCTGGTGATAGGCCTGTTCTGTAACAGTGTGTTTGCAGCAGGTGCACTTTTCACTTTGGTCTGCAGTCCATGGATTAGTTTCCAAGAAAGGTGGCTTTTCAATAAATTCTCTACAGCAATAGCCTTTTCCGTGTGCTTAGTACTTTCAAACTACGATCATAATATGAATATAATGTTATGTCATAAGGTAGAGCTAAAGGTAGCTAGCTGGATCGTTGTGCAGAGTTATTCCGGTAGAAAACCTCCAATTAAAGCATAGAAAAGGACATACAGCGACTATTCTATGGTGGAGCGCATCTAGCGTCCACTACTCAGTTGTGCGCACCAGTTCACCGTCTGCCCGAGACTCAAGGGCCACTTCCTTTGATACGTCTCCTAACTTGATACCAGAGGAATCTAAAATCCGAATGCATCACTGGTGAAAAGTTTGTGAAGAGACGAGTTGGTCTGAGGAAACGCAAGGGCATCTCTGCGAGGAGATAACACAGACGATGAGCCAATACGCGTTAGTCAGACTCAACCCCCTTAAACCTGTCTTTCTAATCTCTGTTATCTTCTAGTAGAAGCATGGAAAACCGAAAGACTTCCTGGACCGGGTTAGAACCCAAGGAGACTATGACTGCCAGGCTGCAGGACAAGGAGACTCGAGGCCGCGCCCAGCATGAAAAGTATGCCCACTTGCTTAAAGGCCAGCTGCCCAAAGACATGTTGGGTGTGACCCATCCCTCAGTCATGGCCACTTCTTTGGATCTAACTGCAATTCGCGTGCTGGAGAGCTAGAGTCGTTCTTCCAACTAAAGCTTGCCGTCAGAACGATTTTCCAGTCCCATCTCAAAGGGAGATAGCCAGCGAAGAGAGCTCTCGCTGCATCAAGGATTGCAACTTTGGTGAGGTCGAGGATAGCAATAGTTCGATTGAGAATGTTGCGGAGTCGGTATTATGTGCTGATGAGTGGAGTGAGAGCGAGGAAGACAACGCAGATAGTGACTATGGGTACGACTAGAAGGATGCTACCGGTAGCGACGATGATGATGACGAAGATTCCGATTTGGTGATAGACACTAGATGTGATTGACGATGATGAACGGTGGCAAGTGTTTGAATTGATCCACAAGGGGATCGAATCAAACACTGTCCACCTTTGCTTTGAATGGTCGTCGCATTGCAGAGCACTTGTTTCTGGCTTTCTGAGGTTTATGGTTTGGTCTTGATTTTTACCGGCGAAACGCGGAAGTTCCTATCATAGGCGGGTTTCACAGATGCCTTTGCCTTATGATGCTTTCCTCAGCATCACTTATCTTATGCTCGAATATATTTCTTAAAAGAGAGAAATCGCCTGAGTCATTGAAAGTTGTTCTATCGCTGAGATTCTGGATGAACTGTATCTGATTTAACAAGTGATAGGTAGAGCCTTACTCGAAACTACTTCTCCGTAGGTTCAACACCATTCGCTTGGGCCTGCTGCACCATAGCGCCCGGGAAGCGAGTGCCCCTGTTCTTGACCTTCTTCTGTTTCTTTTCCACAACTGGAGGGGGGTAGGCCTTCAGAGTAATCTCTTGCCATTCTGGAGAGGCTTGGTACGCCGCTTGTATAGGTGCCATAAGGTCGACAAGACCCGCTGCTACAGCAGGCTTGAGTAATTGTGGCGTTAACTATAGGGTGCTTATGTTAGTTTCTTTTGTTTGAAGCTCAGAGTGCCACGGGAAGACCAAACATACAACATCGTTCGCATAATCTTCCTTAAGCTGCTTGATATCGGTGTAGATCAATGGCTCCTCCTCCCTTCGCTCGACTCGGAACTCCTTCTTGCCCTTCAGATCAGCGGCGGGTAGGAGAACATATTCCACTAGTGCGATAACTCCATTATCTTCGACAACCCGAGGAGCTGCTTCCGCTTTGCGAATTTTCTTTGAGATGCTCTCGGCTGGGTCTAGCAAATCGATCTTGCTGTCTGTTCATTTATTAGTACTCAGCGACCTTCTGCGAAATCGGATGGGCTAGAGGGAGAATCACCTTCAACGCTAGAACTCATCTTAGCACCCTTCAACCCGCTGATCATGGGATTGATTAAATGTGCGCGCTAGATGCAAATTCATCAGTCTTTAAAAGGTTTCTCATCAAGATTAGCGGTAGTCATACCTTTCGATAACCAATCTTAGGCAGCCATTCCACGGCGGCGGTAAAGAGCTTCCTCTGGTCCATACCTCCTAGCTGAGCATCAACTTTGAGATGCTCTTCGTCGAGCACCTGAAGCACCGGGTAGAGAAGACCACTCAATGGAGCATTGTCGGTCTGTTTGACAACCTCTGCGCCAGCCTTCTTAGCATCTGCCTCGGAGATCAAACTTGACAAGCGATACACATCCATGACATATTCGGGGCTTTTTTGGTAGGAGCTGCCAAGAACGAACTCGAGCTTATCAGTAGGCACGCCTACCGACTCGAGGATCGCCGTGATGATCTTGCTATAGTATTTCGCACGGTTCTCCACAAGCTCAAGCGGCGCCTTCAAGTTGTCAAGGAAGGCGTGGACATCGGCGAGCAGGACAACGACGTCGCAATGTGCACGGAGCAATTGAGCGATTTTGAGCGCAGCGAGGAAGTACCCGACGTGTGGTCTTCCGGTGGTTGCCGTACCTAATATCAACCACAGGTTAACTAGAGCCTGATTGTTGTATCTAGAATGACTTACCCCAATAGATTCTGGGGTTTCTCTTTTCAATCAAAATTTGTTCAATCAACTCCGGGTTCAAGACCTCCGCGAGGTTCTCGCGGATAAGGTCAAACCGTGCTTGTGCTTCCGAGTCCATCGCGACGAGTCAGAGCCAGAAAATGAGTCTTTTACAGAGGAGCGCAGGGAAAGATAAAGGCGGCGCTGGTGGGCTGGTGGGATGGTTTTCTGCGGCGGGGGAAACCGTCGGATCAACAGTTGTTCCGTTGTCATTTTTTGAGTCAGAGCGACAGGCGGTCAGGGGTGGCAAATAAACATCTTCATTTAAATCGGACAAAAGTCCGGTGCATTCAAGGTCCGTGCGACATGGCTTTATGCATAGTCACTCTTCGTTGCAAAGCTTCCACATGCCGCTACTCGATATCGTCAAGAGAGGGACCGGTACAAGGCACCTTTTTGTTAGCAAAGTGCCAATATCACGCAAAAACCGTCAATTCATGAGAAATTTGGACAAAACTGCGAGTCTACAACTCAGTACAAGCGGGGTATCATATCATAAAGCAGTCAGGCAGAGGCTCGACAATGCAGTAAATAGCCACATTCATCCATCCACGCAAAACATTCTTAAGTAAAGTCCATCACGGCGACCGCGGCCACTCCAATTCCCTCGGTCTATTATCATTCACGGGACTCCCGAGATCCCGATATGGTGCAATAGGTGACGCCTCAACGGTTGTCATGGTGTTCCGATCCCCAATATGAAACTTCTTTGTAGCGAGAATGTCCGTTCTACGCAGTATAAGTTTCTCGTACTGTACTAGAAGAGTCAAGGGAAACTTACACCATAACCAACGGAAATAAGCATTCCATCGTATACGCAAACCGGTCAAACTGACCCGCCACCGTCGTGGCTGTTTGCGATGTGACCTGCAACGAATACGTAACTGCGCGGGTGATCCCGATAATGCAGAGGCTAGCAACGCGCACCTCAGTCGTGCGGAGCACATGCCGGAAGATCATTCTTGTGAAGGACAGTTTAGGAGAGACGTGGTATGCCTTGTGCAGAAGACGAATAAGAAAGAAAGAGGTGCACGTTTCGACCAATGCGATACTCGCGAAGTAGCCGACATGTAGGCAGTCGATTCGGTGTTGTAATGGACCAGCGGAATGAGAGGACACGCCTTCTTCAGTGATTTCAAGGACTCTGCTGGCGAGTATAGTCATTCGGATGGCGCAAATTACAACCATGAAAAACCAGAACAGGGAAAGGAAGAGTATCCGGGTCCTGTCCCGGAGAGTGTGTAGTAGGATTTGGTAGCTGTAGAAGGAAAGGCCTGCTTCTTGGACCTTTGTCTGGTTAGTACGGTATTAGGTTGCTAGAGCTAACTGAGTGATTAACTCACCAGCCAGAGGATATCGGCAATGGCACTGGCAGCTGCTCGGTCTCCGGGAGGATGCGATGTGTAGAAGGAAAAGTAACAGAGTCCGTTGGCCACGGCACCAGCAGCGGAGACGACAATGGGGATGAAGCTCAAGGGGCTGGGCCGTGTGATGAGCATGGCCCAGATACTCAGGAGAGTTGTGAACAGTCCGATGCTGCTTAGAATCGACCAGCTCAACTCATAATAGCTGGCGACCTCCGGCGAGGTACCAGATGGAGGGTGGGTATCCATTGCTTCGCTTATAGTATATGTCAAACGAATGTTCTAACGGCAGATACTGCTGGAGCCCTCCCACCCCCTCGGCATTCCTTTGAAGCAGGATCACGAGAGTAACGAATTTGCCCTGAGATAGAAAGACAAGAAACAGGGGGGGGTTCGCGTAATTATACTAATCGTGTTCTTCAGACTTAATCGCTAAAGATACCTTGCATTGTGACACCAAGAGCGTGGAGTTCATTCCCCGCATTATCCACACCTCATGAATAGGGCGTCCGCGATAATCTGGGGAAAAACTGGGGTCGATCCACGCAGGACGGATGAAATGCCGCGTCCAAATATTAGCCCTACCCACGGATAATTTAATCCCAAGTGGATGGCTGCCGAGCTTTAACGGGTATTTCTTCCGTCAATCTCGTACGCTTCTCACCCATTAGCCCGGTTAGTTGAACTGGTGGGCTGTGCGTGTCATGTTCCTGCTTACGAATACGCTAACCCGGCTTAGAATGACTCGAATTATGATTTTTACTAGTGTGGATGTTAGCCTTAACTAGGCTGGCCCCGGGGATTCGGTAGATATCCCCGTCGTGGCTTGGGGACAGACTCCATAAAGCCGAGCATAAAATAGGCTAATAACATATGCCAAGGCTAAAGAGACATACGAAACACCCCACAAGAAAGGTTTAACATTCACATAAACTGTTTATCCTATTTCCTCCCGTACTCAATCAGCTTAATTAGCAGCAAGCACACCCACCGCCCAAGCCGGCAGCGTGAAAGTAAACTTGCCATTCGTCGCTTTCACGTCCGACTCACTGGGCGTCACCAGAGTCTGGCTATCAGAGTTGAAGGCCTTCGGATCACTGTCCGCAAGAACCGTCAATTTTCCGCCCGTCTTCCCGGGGGTGGACACGCTGATCTCCTGGGGATCAGCTCCATAGTTGGCCAACTTCACATAATATTTGTCTCCGGCACTGGAGGCAACCCAGTAAACAGGTCCGAAAGCAGAATCAGACGTCACGCTATGGATAGTATCTCCACGGTTTACAGAGAACATCTGCTGCACGTAGTAGCTGGTAGTCTCAATGACCGTGCTAGGGTTCTGTGTGAAGGCAATGAGATTCGGCTATAGCCAAGTCAGCTTTCCAGCGAACCCTTGTATTTTGTGAGGGGCAATCCACGTACTGTCCACTGGGTAGAGTTCACTAGTTGCAAAAGGGGAGCATACGCTGCCATCTTGACCACATCGCTGTTCCTCTCAATGCCGATCATGTACACGGCCTCAGCAACAGATCCCTGCATGAAGGGCCAGGCATTGTCCTGCTGGCACGAATATTCCCCAATGAAGTACGGAACGGAACGATCCTTGTTATCGAATTGGCTGAACTGCTTCACAAGGTTATCGGCAGTATTGTAGTTATGATAGTCCACCCAAGCGCCTTCCGGCAGCTTACTAGGCAGACAGGATGATTGGTCGGTGCTGGCTATGATGGTGAGATCTGGATAGGTAGCGTGGATGGCATCGTAAAAGGCAGCAAACCGCTCTACGTAGGATGCACAGCCGCCACCTAGCATATCCTCGTTACCGATCTCGACCATGGTAAGTTTCCAGGGCTCCTTGCGCCCGTACGACGCACGAAGGGAGCCATATTTTGTGCTCGAATCGCCAAGTACGTACTATGATCCTGTCAGAGTCATTCCTGATAGCAATGGGGTACGGAACTTACCTCAAGCTCATTCAGCACGTCATCAATGTAAGGCTTCAGGCGTCGCCAGTCATCGGTGTGTTGCCACCGGACTCGAGAGCAAAGCCAGCCCATACACCTAGGACCGGGGTAAGTCCCATATCCTCGCACCAGTAAAAGTATTCATCAAGGCCTGATTGGCTTGTTAGGCTTAGTCTATTAGCATAATTAAGGTACACTTACCCAGTCCGTCTGTGTTGTAGTATGACCAGTCGCCTTGGCGTCCGGGGCGGTTTTCCACGGGGCCGATCGTCTCATTCCACTTCCATCTCAAAGCTTCACTCGCGCCCTCGCTGTGTCTGTTAGATCGTGTCCATCCAGAGTACCTGATACCAGAAGGTGAAGACTCACAGGTTGTTACCTCCAGGAAATCGCAAGAAAGATCCCTTCATGTCTGCCAAAGGTTGAGCCACCTGAGGCTTGAGCCCATTAGACCTGCAAACGATATCAGTACGATGCATCACGGTGGAGAAAAAAATCACACAAACCTTGACTTGTACGTCTGAGGGAAAAGCTCAAAGAGCCCAAAGTTCAGCGAGGAACCTCCAACCGACGCTCCGTCAAGCGTGAGCTCATAGAGCACAGCGCCATCAGGGGCCTTCTTGGTAGGAATCTTTGCCGTGACCTGGGTAAAGTTGCCTGAGTTCGAGGATTGCGAGATCTTCGTCGAACCATACTCGGTACCTGTGTTGTTGCCCACCAGTCGAACCGTGATGTCACCGGAGAAATCACCCTTGATCCAAAAAGTATTTAGGAACTCGGTTCCATCTACTGGAACACCCCAATAGCCTTCGTTGGTGAATCCTACAGCACCAGTTGCACCCTTTTTGACGTCGAGTTTCAAACTATGCGGGATGGCTTCAGTCAAGGGATTCTGCGCGTCAACGGCGATAGTGGCATCGCCGACGGCAGCCCACGCAGTCAGATCAGGATCGCTTCCCTGCAGGCCATTATTGCGTAACAGCTGTCCATAAATGCCTCCATCGCCAGAGTGGTTAATATCCTGGTTTCTCTATTAGTTATAACGTCCACTGTATGGGGTGTCGGGGTTGCCTACTTCGAACATGAAGCCATACAGAATGGGGCTGGAAGAGTTTCCTTTCTCTGTGGAAACCTCTAGAGAGACACCATACACATTCCGAACCAAAGAAAATAGGAAGGGAAGGGCACTGAGCCCCGAAAGAGTCGAGAATGCCACCATTGCTTTATTCCTGATATGTTACCTGAGACAGGGAACATCATTTGAGGGTCATATTCCATGGTTTTATATTCGCCTTTGAATAGATAATTAACCGTTCTCGGGCCTTGAAAATTGGAGAACGAGGCAGGAAGCCGTACGGCAGTGATGAGGGCATTCAACCGAGAGTGGAGAGAATATGGAGAATGCGGAGTGCCCGATCATACTGTGATGTGAGATACCCACACACAAACATGCAGTGCAACGTTTTACAATGACAGCCAAGGCTATAGCACGCTGAAGCCTAAGTCATAATACCTGTTTTTTAGTAACGCTTTCCACCGTTTAGTTTTCAGCATAGCCCACCGTCATACCCGGAGTGTATCCGAGGTATATCAACAGTTCCTGGGTGGACAATAGTGGATCATACGACATGTCGATCTTTGTCCATTTGCAGTGAGACAGCGAGTTATTCCAGGTATCCAAATATCCCAAAGCCAGGTACCACTGTAAAACCTCGGAGAAATATAATCTACACCCGCTGTGGTACAAGAGACTCACGCCCACCGATACCCCGAATTCTTAGGGCAAAACAAGCTTTATGGCTGCCATTATACCGCTGCCCAGCGATTTCTTGTGTTAAGGAGGCGTCCGGGTGGGCCGAACAAAGAAATTCAAGGGCGTCCAGAATAATGAAAAGTCAGGCACCAAGCCACCATCTGGATACTCCACCATCGCGGCCACAAACCGAAGAAAGCAAAGCGCTGTGGGCAATATCGCACCGGTAACCCCTTCTCACCTGCAGAATCTTGGCACGACTCACAGGCGATTGGCTCGGTCCCAGCTTAGGGCCAGAGAGTAGTATAATTTAGTTCCTGAGTCCATGCACGATGATGTCGGTTGTGCATTCCCCCTCTTTCTTTGTCTCCGCATGGGTTCTGCAGGGCGACGCTCAGGGCAAAACCCCGGCGGGACGGGGGGGTTCCCTGTCGATCATCTCGCGGGACTACGAGTCGTGTGTCTTGGAAGTCTCACACGGCTATCAAGAAGCCTATGGTGTCTGGCGCTATGCATGAACTGGTTGTACGCTTGAAAGGGCTTAAATTGGTCAGTCCATATTTCTCGTGGCTACAACTCACGGGTCGAGTCAGGGGTGAAGAGGAAGCGACAGACATCATAGCCGCCGTGCAGGCCTGCGACAAGTTGCAAGCATACTAGTATCACTAGGAAGCGAACATCAGGTGGCGTATCCCTGGGACTATTGGCATACTAATGGGCTTTTGGACTATGCTAGGTTGGGATGGTCCCTTAGTAGGTCCAGGATATATCATGGATGTGTTAACATGTACCAATTGTTGACGACATACAGTACAAAGATATATATTGTTCTGATGTGCAACACAGCAACAATAACTATTACTCCATAATAAAACATCAAATATTATCGCGATCAGCGGTCACAGAATACTAATATTAGTGATACGATAGATTTGTAATGCATCACAAAAAGGTGTAAGACCATTGATAGAGGAAGACCGTGAAGTATTGATAAGCGAAATTTCACATTTTGGAACATTTGTAATATTAATACAAATAAGAGATCACTCTTTCAACAAATCCTCGATGGTCTAACGGTCATGATTTCCGCTTGTCATCTCATATGAGAACAAGCGCGGGAGACCTGGGTTCGACTCCCAGTCGGGGAGATTTCTTTTTGCGAGCATTTTTTCTTTTCCCTCTTATTTTGGCTGATCGTATAAGGCGGCACAACCTGTTTTCCACTTCTATCTCTGCCTTCTCTCTAGAACGTATGGAATCCATGCAAGCGTTGCTGCATTGTTCGGTACTTCTTTATCTAATGTTTGTCTTCTCCCGGCTTTTGTTGTAGTATCTCTTCCAATTACACATGAGATAATTACTAGTTGAAACAAGCCCTGGTCGCTTGAACCCTTCATACACATATGTAGGAGGATATTCGCGGATTATCCTTGACCGTGGAATAACAGCCACTGTTGGATCGATAACCCGTTAGGTGGTTTTTAGAGTGGTTGGGGTACTCAGAAATTCTAGCACTACTTGTCTCCTTACAGTGGAACATATCGGAAAAATTACTATAAGTAAGGCCCTCTCTACGACATGGTGGTGTAAAGCTGTTTATATCTTCGCCGGATAACAGAATGATTCTACTGTGGGAGCAATACTCTGTATCTTAATTATCAAGATTTGAGATCGTGGAGAAAATCTGGGCTCACTGTTTACCACGATAAATATATCAGGTTATACAATTATATACTAATATTCGGTTCTAGATATTGGAGAACCGTATCCTATTACATGTTGAATGCGAAATATTAATGTTAAGTCACCCGAGGGTCATCAGGAGCGCGATTCTGGATGGTAGTCCAGACCGTCTGCGTGCTCCTGTATTTGCGGCAGTTTCGGCGGCAAATCGCTTTCAGGATCATCCTGGATGTCCTTGTTGATAGGAGCCTCTGGAGTGGGGTTTGGCTCCCTCACAAGGCAGGAAGCATATGTTGTGAAGGGCACGCTCACCCAGAACACCACAAACGCGACGATCAGGTTAGCCATGAGGGAGACGTTCTCGCTGGCGCCAATGCCGAATGCGATAGCAAAGCCCAGACTCTCGAAGGAACGAAGAATCCCAGTGGTGTATGCCAGGACATCGACATGGATATCATATGTTCCCAGGATCCAGTACGTCCACACCACTGATGCCTGACTTCCGACACTAATTCACCCAATACATCAGTAAGGAGTCTCTGTTGCCTTCACAAGAAAATGGACTTACCCAAATAGACAGTACGCGGCGATCGCCTTGCCGTATCCAGGGTCATAGATATCCAAGGATGGGGTAGGGCTTTGCTTCTGCAGGTCGGTCTGCATGACAAAATTCAAAACCCACTGCGGGATAAACACAGCGACCATCGTCAGCCAGCCTGCAAGCGCCGTTCCTCGTCTCGTTCTGAAGATCTTATTTGAATCTAACAACCAGCCCCAAAGCACCGTAGCGACAATACCGACAATGGTTTGGACAAATCCAGCCAGTGTACGGCCCCGGACCGAGAAGTACTCCGTCAGATAGTTCCCCTGGTAGGTTTGACTCCAGCGCACGGTGATGAAGATAGGAATCAGAAGCAGCATGTACTTTTGCTTTGTTGCTTTCCAAAATCCCTTTAGTCCTTCCTTGAGTGAAATACGATGTTCGTCGGAGCTGAATGTCGGCTTTGTTCCGTCTTTGCGAATCAGCTTGTGCGCGGGAGCGACGGTTAACGCGAGGGGGAGACCGCCGCAGCTGAGTCCGATGAGAACGAGGTATGTCTTAGGGCTGATGCTGCCCTTGCTGGATGAGTCCATGTTGAGCGCGAGTTGAATGGCGTTTCCAATGACTGATCCGAGCTTGTTGAGGGCCATCCAAATACCGACTATCGGCCTCGTTAGCAAGTGTGTGTCTTGCTGGAAGTCATGATCCAAGATCGATAGCACCTACTGTAGGTCCCGCGGTTCTCAGGCTCGGGATAACCCACAGCAATAGCGGCCTCCGAAACCCATAGCGCGGCGCCCTATACACAAATCAGCACCCAAACTTCTCCTCTCATCAGTCAGAAAGTAGCATACCGAGAAACCACAAGTCACCGATCCAAGAAGCAAAAACCACTGGGTTCCGAAAACACTGTTGCAATACAATGCTGCGAAATAGGGCACATAACCGATTGTCCCGGCGACCAGCACCCACTTCAAACTGAACCTGTTTCCGGCGATCGAGAACAACGGACATGTCACGATCATGATCACGTATGTGATGACATTGGAGGCATTGACGAAATACGGGGTTGCTAGACCACCGGCTCCCAGTCCTATCGCAAGATCAGTTACTGCATTCCTCCCTTCCTCTCTTCTATCCTTTCTTTCTGTTCCTTTTTCCTTTCCCCCCCCCAGGCTGGCGATAGCGATAAGAAACTAACCGTTCAATGCATCCCAAATACCGGGCTGAGTAAAGCTGATCAGACCCAAGGCAATAGCCTGATACAGGGTCCCGCGATACCAGCGGTGCAACGTCTCCCAAAGCCCAGCCATGGTCGAAAGCCAGAGAACTCGGACAAAGACATGGCGATTAGCGATGCGAGTCGATATTTAGTATGCAGACAGGTTTATCCTCAGCAATGGCCAGGGCCCCCACTCCGATGTCGTGATCGCGGCCAGCGCTGCGATAAGAAGACATTTGCATTACATAGGGCGCGGGATGAATTCCATGTGTCATGAATACCCACTTGGTGCCGGCTCTGGCGCGAGGCCGTTGGACGCAATTGCCGGCGCTGGCAATTAAGCGATGAGGAGCCCCAGTCCGCGCCTCCCAACTTTCTTTTCCACCAGCCAATAAGTTGAGTTCTGCACAGATTTAGTCGGCTCCCTTGATGGATACGCCTGGACCTGCCCTGGGTCGTGACTCGTGAGTCATTTCCTTTTGTATTTCATTTCCTTTCTGGGCATTTTTTTTGATGCTTTCCTGACTAGTGACTTGTATTCTGCGCGATCGGATGGGTTCGCGGCACATGTGGATAAGGGTATTGCCCTATCAATACTAACCATAGGCCTTCTAGAAACACTTTAAAGGGCTTTAATCGTCCAACCAACTGTCCTCTGTCATAGAAGAAAATAGTGTCCTTAGAATCATCACTCGTTCCTGACTCGAATAAAGATTCAATATCAATGTTTGAGTTGAGTCTCGGGTCCAGCTCCAGGCTCAAATTCACGCATATATCGAAATTGTAACCCAGATAGAAAACGAGATGAGGATTCTGGTTCCTCAGCGGACACCTAATCTAGGCGGCTAAAACGAGTCTAAGGCAGGGTCGATCACCGGGTAAAACTGTAATATAGAAAGACCTTGAGAGAGATTGATATGTCAAGAGCCTCATACTTGCGCTTCCCTGGACCAGACGCAGATGGATCCTGTGAGCCCCACATATAGGAGAGCCCATGGAGAACTATATATGAAGCTGCCTTTGGCCTGGACGTACTCCGTAGAAGCCGACCGTCTATCTCACTTGATACCTGTACAGCCTGGCCCGCATTTGGCACTAGTGAGCCTTCCCAGGATCGGTCATTGGAATAGGATACGAAAGTGTGCAGCCCCGTGCAGCCCTTATCTTCATGGTAGCTGCCGTATGCAGATGAACAAATAACAATTGATAACAATCGATGATTTGAACCGTCTTTCTTGGTGCCGACAACTCTCTCAGCTGAGCTTGGCTGACCAAATTTGGGACACAACCCCATAACTATAGCTCATCTTCAGGGTCATAAGATGGAAGATATATTAGTGAGACCTTTCGATCATGTAGAGCTGCAAAGATAGATAGTGAACAAGGTCGAGAAGATAATACAATTGAATGTGAGTGACCCTGAAATTTACTTAGTTGTTGAATGCATGAAAAAGGGGCTAGGGGTTAGTGATATCATCCGCCATAGTCTAACCATTGTATATAAAAATGACCTATCACGAATGCGAAACAATGAAAACATACACTGGAGCATAATTCCACTATCTATGATAGTTCTCAACTGAAACTCTATAGTAGAACACGATATTTAAAGAATGTGCAGATTTGTATCATGTCATGTCGTATTCTATTCTGGTCCATATCAATCCATACAGCACGCCAATGCCCATTCTAGAATACCTCCTGTCTATTACCACGTACCCAATTAAAGAAAAATACTCATTTCCCCCTCACAAGATAATCATTCACCGTTTTCCATATCCCCTTGACACCCTTCTCAATCTCAAACCGCCCATCATAAAGCGGATAGACAACCACCGCCAAGAAGGCAAAAAACTGCCAAATAATAGCAACCGTAACCCACCCCGAGAAGAACGACTTGGTGAAGATATAGTTCCGGTAAAGCGGCATAGGCCACAAGATAAAAGTGATAAGAACGAGGACTACGAAGATCACCCACGCGATACGAGACCAGCGGTATAGTTCTTTCAGCGTTTCGTCGCTGAAAGGGTGACGGATATCGTCTAGGCTCAGTTGTGTCGGTGACGCGATAGCTGGCGCTGATGAAACGGCAAGGGTTTTCTCGTCTGCTCCAGTTCGCTCCGGGTCATTGGTGGAGGTTGTTTCGGATGGGGGAGATTCAGGGCGAGGGCTGGGGGATTTTTCACTCGACTGGTTTTCCTTAGAGGTTGGCGCGATGGACGGATCGGAGGCATGGAGTTGTTCCTCGTCTGCGAGCTCGATGCGGAGGAACTCACGCCAGTCGAATTTGTAAGGCTTGTAGAGCGATATGATGACGGAATAGAGGCTGGGGAGAAAAAGGATCCAATGGCGCCGTACAGCGCCGGCAACCCCTCGCCGGTGGTGGTCATGTTGACAGTGCCGTACAGGGACTTTGCGCTGGCGAGCCAGATAGCCAGGCCGGTGAAGAAGCCTAGGACGGGCGAAACAATTGCTGCTAAGCGAGTCTGGCCTGACCAGAAAAGTGTGAGTGCCAGAGGAATAATCCCCGGGCAGGAGAGGATGGGCCGGAAGTAGCCGATCCAGGTCATGTTTGCACCGCCGTAGTTCAGAGCAATCGAGATGCCTGTGATGAAGACGGCGTGGAAAACGACCGAAATATGACTTACACGAAGGAGCCTTTTGTCGGACGCTTTTGGATTGAAGTATGTTTTGTAGATATCGAATGAGAGGATACTGCTGACCGCAATCATCGAGGATGAAACCGTGCTTGTTAAAGCCATGAAGAGCAGTATGAAGAAGGCGACAATGCCCGAGTCACCGATCAGGGCCTTGACTAGATATGGCATTACCATGCCGGCATTTACCTCTGCACTGGTAAGAGGGCCCGGGTAGGTTGGGAATAGCGGCGTGTTATGCAAAGCGCGTGCGGACAGCCCAAGAACTGTCCCCAGACCCCAAGGGATGCCGAAGACAGCTACTGCAGCTAGGTTGTAAGCTGGCACAGTTGAATTAACCTCGCTTGCAAAGGACTTTTGCCAGAATGCTGTATCCTATTGACCACATGTTAGCATAACAACCCTTTTGCGCTACTGTGCCGTCTCAACCATACCATGACCACGAGAGCCAGGTTGCCAAATTTCAACACCAATCCCCAGATAATGGCATTTTTGGACTTCATCGTAAGCAGCGATCCTTCATAGTTCCCAGGAATATAGTTCTCGCTAGCGGTGGCCACCACCTTTTCATAGAGACCCCCAAGTCCACCCACTGCGGGATGGGTCAGAACCGATAGGGTAAAGTAGATGATGAGGATCAAAGCTACAGCCGTGTGAAGGAAGTCCGTGAGAAAGGTTGCCTTGAGACCTCCGACTGCGGTGTACAAAACCACTACAGGATGGCTAGTCAGTTGTAGTTCCTCTCATGAGCTACTGAAATGCTCGGAACTTACCTCCAAGCGGGATGAGAATCGTAGCTGCGACGAAGTGCATGCCAGACACTCCATAAATCAGTTGCGAGCCGGTCAGAATCATGGATGCACATCCAAAGACATTATTGGTGAGATTCAACACGATAAACACCAGGTGGCCGATCCACCCGTATCGCATCTTGATAATTTCGAGCGATGTATGAGCGTAGGGCACTCGGATCTTGGCCATGACACCCAGTGCAGCCATCAATGCGATTTGGAAACAAAGGCCGGATCCCCACCACTAAAGCCATGTTAGCACTGTCTATCCAGTGGAGGTATGAAGTGAGATGACTATACCAGAGGCACTGCCAGACCGTATCGATAGCACATCGCTGCGCACAACACCGTTTCGTTGATCCACATCCATGAGGAAAACACCGCAGACGCCGTTAGCCCTGTCCCTACTGATCTATTCGCTACCATAAACATCTCCGAAGTGGCCGAGTCTTCGGAGAGATACGCCTTCTGCACTTTGATCGCGACCAGAATCACCCCGCAAAAAAGGACCCCCAGCCCTATAAGGAGGCCATAAGCTGTGCCTTGCGGGATCAGGTCTATCCCCGCAACGCCTAATTCCGCTACAGTCATGATGATATTGAGTGAACGAGGGATGTAGTAGGGGGCAAAGGGTCATTGATGTAGCAATGCAGAAAGAAATATATGAAAGGGTGTCGAGAATTAAAGCTTGCTGCGACCGTGAATATTGCCGATCGGGGATTTACTTTATGTCAACAAGGACTCCTACATCGCTACTCCATTTTTTTTCTTTTGTGTGCTTTTACCTTGTTCTCATTGACCTAGCGATTGCATTCGGAGCCTGGCCGACACAATGGCCAATGCCATATGGTTGAGTTGTCACGCAGTCAGTGGTAGATATTGCGTTATGCGGCACTAAACGCGTGAGCGCCGGTAGTCAAACGTGAGTAGCGTCTACATGAAAGGAGCACCAAATCCCGTTGACTTGATACGAGCATGTGGATTGGGGATAGTGCAGAGCTTAGACGAGCTTAGCCAAAGAAAACGCGAATTGAGGTGAGCAATGCATGGATGGGATTGCGTGCCTGCAGGGCGCTATGACGACTCGTGCGGCACCACCGGATGAATCGCGATAACGGCAGCGGCCCCAAAATGACACCAGAAGCAAACAATAAGATAAAACAAGAATGTGTACAGCTCAATCCTCTTGCATAGCTTTGCTCGTGTGTTAGTGGGTCCTCAGTTTGTCCTCTATCACCGCTCCCGTATACCGGTTGAATAGACGCAGACGCCGTAAGCCAAGCAAGATGGCAAACATCAACAATAATATGAAACAGATCATATTGAATGCCTTCGTGATGAACACCCCGGGCCATCTGGCGCCGGGGTTGTGGAAACACCCGAGAAACAAGACCGACCAGTACAAGAAACTGTCGTTTTGGACCGACTTAGCGCAATTGCTCGACAAGGCAGGGTTCCATGCCATGTTCATCGCTGATACCCTGGGCCCATACGACGTATACAAGGGTCCAGCCAATGTAGTCCCTGCATTAGCATCTGGGGCACAGTTTCCGGTCAATGACCCACTGTACCTGGTCCCAGCCATGGCGGCAGTCACAAAAAATCTGATCTTCGGCGTGACTGCGAGCGTAACATACGAAAAGCCATATGCACTCGCCCGCCGACTATCCACAGTAGACCACCTCAGCGAAGGGCGTCTCGCCTGGAATATTGTCACGTCTTATCTCGACAGTGCGGCTCGCAACCACGGCCTCAAGGAGCAGATTCCTCATGACGAACGGTATGCGATCGCTCACGAGTATATGGAAGTTCTCTATAAGCTTTGGGAAGGCAGCTTTCGAGATGACGCCGTCCTAGATGATCGCGAACAAGGGGTATATATCGCCAGTGATGCGGTGCGACAGATACATCATAAAGGGAAGTACTTCGACGTACCGGGACCCCATTTCTGCGAACCCTCACCACAACGCACGCCATTTCTCTTTCAAGCCGGCGTTTCGGAAGCTGGAAATGGCTTCGGAGGAAAGCATGGGGAGGCGATCTTCATCGGCGGCCAAACACCCGAAGCGTCCGGGTGACTGTGGACAATATTCGCAAAGTTGCAGTGCAGGAAGGACGCGACCCCGACCACATTAAGGTTATTGTTGGTATTAACGCCATTGTCGCCGCGACCGATGAGGAGGCAAAGGCAAAGCGGGAGGAGTATCTCAAGTATGCGGACGAAGAGGGGGCATTGGCGCTATTTGGTGGGTGGACCGGAGTCGATCTCTCAGGCTACACCGATGACGAGGACTTCCGATTTAGCGAATCTCCGCGTGTTCAGTCGATTGTAAGGCGATGGTCTGCTACCGTGCCCGGGGCCGACAATCTTCCTTGGACGAAGAGGCGAATTGTCGAGTACTTAAGTGTTGGGGGACTTGGAGCGAAAGTCGTCGGGAGCCCCATAACCGTCGCTGACGAGCTGGAACGATGGGTAGACGTGTCAGGAGTAGATGGCTTTAACCTGGCTCACATTACCAACCCGGGGACGTTTGAGGACATTATAGAATACTTACTCCCTGAGTTGCGACGAAGAGGACGGTTCCGAAGCGCGGTAGGAAAGGAAGGCGCCACAGCCAGAGAAGTTTTCATCGGATCCCGCAGGCTCCCAGATGATCATCCTGGGAGCAAGTATGGGTGGCATGCTGGCGAGAAGCTACCCAAGTATCAGCTGGAGGAAAAGAATGGAGAAGAGGTATGATAGAGGAGAATGGATGACGCTTGCACAACAGGGATAGTATTATTTGAGACAAAGTGGAGCTAGACATGCCTGCTTGCTTGAATGCTGGAGATAATAAGAATAAAACTACCTGCAGCGAACCTTATGCGGATAACGTAACAATAGTACCGCTCATTGGAAAGCTGGTTTAGTCTTGACAACTTGAAATAAGCATGGAAGAGTCGCCTGGACAGAGACCACCCTGGTTAGTACTGAACAGAATCATAGGCATTGATGGGGTGAAACACGATGTCCACCAGCATTCTATCTCCTTCAAAAGCCCTGTTCAGACCGGGTCAATGGCGAATGCCCTGTGATACACGTGCAGTAAGACGCGACGCTTGTATCCAATGATCAGTGAAAGACACAGTAGGCCGGGCCAGAGCGATGATTTAGAGAACCTGATTGCGATCGAGCGACTACTGAGTTCGGGCATCGGGGCTTCCTGTAAACTGACGCTAGCTCCATTTACCACATATACTAGTCCCTGGTCACAAGCGCGAGATTTGGGTATTTATAGTGCACTTCTAACAGACATAGGTTGAGCTGTACATACCTGCAGGCTAATCATACAACGGTCATAGGTGCATGTAACGAGCCAATAATCTTAAGACTCGTTTGGAGTTCCCAGAACAGGTATGTGGTTTCTGATAATCCAAGACAAAATTATCCTCTCCGAGGAGCGGCTTTTCCATTGAGACAGCCCAATGTTGGGCAGATCTCAGGGTATCCTTCCTGTGTTGTCGTGGTAGAAAGCTGATGGTGACGGGATAGGCCTTGCCCCGAAGCCATTTTGTTTAGCGTCCATGTGAACTATCGACGTAAGGGAGCCACCGCTAGGCTACAGGAATAGCCAATATGCTCTACAGTTCTGGAAGGATTGACGATTTAATTTACTTTTCACTAATGAAGCTTTCCAGGGAACACTAGGTTTGGAGTTCGTGCTGTGGGGTATAAGGTGCACCCAATGCACTAGTTTGCTAGTAGACCGTGGACAGACGAATGAGTGACGGAAGATAACCACTGCACAGCAGAATAGATTACACCGTCGAGTCTAGCGATTTCTAGTCATTTCATGGCTGGAGGGGTTGCGCCTTGAGTGGGACGAATACAATGTGGCTGTTATATATGGCTGCAATGCTGATAGGTGACAGTTGGCAAGCATCCCTAAGATTGCCATGACCAAGGTGAGCGGCCCTCTCTCATAGTTAACCTGAATATAGCTTCTCAAGCAGAGATCCATTAGAGTGCATATGTTCCATCCATCGCAAGGAAGTGTATAGTTGACGATCTGAACGCCGTGGCGAATGCCGACTCGACTCGGGCCAAGTTGAATGAGTCTGGGAACTTGGGAGAAAAACGTTAATTGGGCCGAGGGTGGATAAGCCTTGCAGCAGGGTCGGGCTAGAGTCGCCAAGAGATGCCACTGTCGCTTAGAAACAAGGGGTCCAACTTGCTCCGTGTCCTGTTTACCCTTAAGGAAGCGGAAGTTATTTCCGGATCTTCGTTGACGCCCGGTCGATGCGAGCGGGAAAAGTGAGGCGAGCTATCATTGGATATGGACTCTACTGTGTGCATTCAACGGCTACATACAGGTCAAGCCGCGGTCAAGAGAACGCTTGTAGTACCGCCCAGGCGAGTACCCGATATTATTTTTGTTTTATTTTTGATTTATATTTACTTAAAATTTTTGATTCTCAATTCCCTTGTCGTTGCCTTCAGGTTGGAGAATGAAATGAAGAATGCTATGGACATTATACGCATAGATATGGAGCTCAAGCGTAGGTTTCCTTACATTGAATATGCTCCCAATCACTGGAATGCTGGATGGAGCCCCTAGCAATCCTACAGACGGTCAAACGATTGCATGGCTCATCGAGAGAACAGAAATACTACGGACTACGGAGGAAACATTGACACGCAAGATACCTACTAGACTGTCAAGAGGGAACAATAGCCATAAATAAACTTTTGCCACCAGTTTAGCTCTATCGAGGCTTGAACACCTGTCAAGACAAGCCCCCAAGCGTACAGTAGTATGCTTGCCGTACCCAGGACCTTATGTACCTTTTCACGAGGGACAGGACCATAAACAAAAACCCCGTCGTCTGATACATACCACTCCGGGAGAATCTAGCGCGGTGCCATGACTATTTGGTACTATTTGTCTACTATTTTGAACCATTATTCAGATCAGCTGTTTTAGACATGTGCAGCCATCGTTATGTGTCAGGTTCCGCTTGCGGAGAATCTGAGCCGTTTCCACTTTTAAAAGCCCATGTGGAGATCGTACGAATCGTTGCGGCGGAAGCAATTCCAATTGGACAGTCTGCGATGTTTGTGCCGTGGGAAAACATTTCCTTCAACTGCCGGCCATTCAAATTTCGAGTTCTTCGTAACTCTCCTACTTTTAAGCTGTTGGGTTGAGGAACTAAATAATGTCGGGAAGAAACCCTGGAAGTTGGTGGAGGGGAAAAATCAAAAGGAGGGGAAAAATTAAAAAGAAGAACAAAAAACAAAAATAAAAGACAGTCTCCAGAGTCCAAACAAGAAAGAGAGACCAACAGAGACAAAGAAATCCAGAGAAAAGTTCCTCAACTACATTGGGCCCATCGAAGTGGATCATCTACAGGTCATTCATGGATAGATCCACCACCTGAGACCCAACGCCTAGGGTCTGGAACCTCTCATCCTTCCACTAAACAGGGATGTATTTGATTTGGGATGCAGAGCAAAGATCTATCGGGTCGATATGTGGCCTGCACCGATAGATCAACTGTGGCTCTGTGGCTTGGATTTCCACAGTGCTGGGTCCGATGATAGGTATAACACTAATAGACTAATAGCTCGCGGAATATATATAGGTCTGGCCGACCTGATGGCCCCGTCTCAAATTATTTTTGGCTGTGTTTAATTTTAGAGATGAAGTCTCACACCGTCAGCCCAACAAACACACCTACTCATAGACAACACGTAGAAGAATTAAAAAGAATAAATAATATTAAAAATACCGTGACCATAGGAAAAGAGTAGAGACAGCGTACTGCTAAATCCCATATTCTTACCCACCTTTAGGAATACTACTCGTAGCGTTATGAGCCGTTGTCGCAAAGAAGAGTTTAAATATTACGGATATGTCAAAGACTCTGAGATTATTTGAAACGGAGAAGTAGAATTAACTTAAAGCATTACCTTTGATCAATGAAAGGCAAATTGGTATCAAGTAAAGAGAGTTCCCAGGCACTGATACCACGGGAAAGTAAAACATGGAAGATGGATATCAAAGTTTCGCCCTGCAAACGCCATGAAACTATGCATATGTCGATGGCTCAATAGCAATTAAACCCAAAAGCCAGTACGCGCCACGCTATGATGGATGTCTTATTTCAACTGACATCGGATGCCATCGTAAGAACGTTTTTCGTGAAGAGAATCGCGTCGTGGTGGATTGTCAGCTAGGAGACTGATCCGAGGGAGATCTCTGGGACCCTGCTCCTGAGCCTTTTCCAGACTGTCCGTTTGCTAGAGAGGAGTCAGATTACGTGAATACCAACAAAGGCTCTACAACGGAACCATGCGCACCTTTAAGCTGCTCAAGCTGTCTGACAGTATTCTCATGAATCCGAGCCCATTCCGCCTGATACTCCGCAAGGTCGAGGTGTGTTGGCTCTTGAGTTGAAGACGTCGTCCTATTTGTAGGTCGCTTATCCATGACTTCCGTGAGAGAGGCTCCTTGACGCTGGTAAAGCGAGGCGAGGTACTATAGTGAATGAGAGTCGTGAGAGAAGTGTAAGAAAGTACCAAGACCACCGATGAGAAGGTTGACAGCTTCAAATAAAGTTCAAGGGGGAAGGTTAAAAGTAATTTAAGATGCTTCTTTGTTCTGGCTTCAGCTGCAGAAGAATTGAAAGGATAGTAGAAGGCTATTTATCAGTTTATGAACGTCGCATTCTTGACCGTCAGGAGACCGTCTCAGGCCACTTGGTGGGATCCATTGACACCGAAGTGAATCCATCAACCAGATCTGTTTTAATTTTCTTTTTCATTTTTTTTACTTTTTACTTTTTATTTTTTATTTCATTTTTAAATTTCTTGGGCCAAGTGTCTGTCCGTTTGAAATTTAATTACTACTTTTTATTTTATTAGTCTTTTTTGGGCGCTCACTTTTGGTTATGTGGTTAAAGTTACCCCATCGGAGGTGTTCTTTAACAATTCCCTTGCATTCCGTAGGGAGGGTAAAAAAAAAAAGAAAAAAAGGAAAAAAAAAGACAGAGACCCTAGTAAAATGACCCGCTACATTGGAATGAACCCATCAACAAGATGGAACCACTAGAAGTATCCCCGAAACAATGCCCCGTTCGGTCTCCCGATTGGCCGGGGAAGCTATTGAACCCAACAGACACGCTGCTGAACATCAGGATCGCCCTAAGATTCCGTTTTGTGGCTTAAGCCTAGTCTCCCTCAGTGATTTTTGAGGCCATTTCTCCTTTCTTCGGTTGCTGTGTAGCGGACTATCGGAATCCAGACGTCCGGCCCTGATTGGCCTCGTAACTCTCCGATCGTTCACGCGGATGGATCCCCGTCTAGCCTGGAAAAAGTACGTACTTTTGTCCTTCCTCTGATTGAGGGACATCCGGGAATTGGGCACCGATCTGTCATGGGGGTTGGTCCATGGTAATATGTTTGTTATCTTCCTGATGACTATGAACAAGGTTTTCTCTTAGAGACAGAGGAGCAGGGAACATCAAACGCAGGTTAGATGAGAAACCTCCTTTCTGGGCTTAGAAGGCGTCCACAGAAAAAGCAATTGCTGCTCTTCTGGCACGAAAGACAAGTTCTACACCACAGGGGTTCATCCACGAGCATGGCATATTGACTTGCATCTCATTTTCAGCCGCGGTCAATCACTGCATTCTTGCATTTTTCGATCGGAATTCCAACGCATTACTGCAAACGGAAAATGGATGGAATGACGTCAGGAATCATAACTAGTCTCGATACTAGTCTCGTAGCATCGACTATCAGAGTAGTAGTCCCGCAATGGTGGGCTTCGGGGAACCATCACCCACTTCCGCGATCTGGCACGATCCATCAGCTAAAATGGCCCAATGTTTCGCTGCTGCATTAGTGTCCTACAATTTACAAAGAGACGACGGTACATCCCCCTCGTGGTGGGTTACTTTCTTTCGTGTTCCCTCTGCCTTCGACTCCATCGCTCTCCCGCTTGCCTGACTGGGATTAGTTAGGGTTCGGCCCTGAGGAGACCCCCCGATCCCTCCTTCATGGCAGTATAACCTTTCCATGCACAGCCGTAATATCCTCCATGTCCATTTAAACTACACGGAAATGAGTTTATAGTGGAGTCCTGGTTGGCTCGACGATCGCCATTGGTACAGAATCCCATCCTTTTCACCGCCACTTTAACCAACCGATGTCAGCTGGCTTTTCACCGCTATGCCCTCGTACAGGACGTTGGATCCTATCAAGCGCCCTGACGATAGCCGCCCTTTCCGACGGTTTAATATCAGGTACCCAGAGCCTGGAGATCTTCCAGCCGTTCCTATTGCTCGACCTTTGTTGGTGATGCAGGGGATCATATGACAGGCTGCTTGAATCCCAATCATTCATGCTTGTAAGGACATACCATCTCACCGGCAGCATCGTCCAGCAAAGCAGTCTCAGCGTCGCACAAGCAGGCTGAACCGTTACTCGGTTCCTCTCACCGCCACTGATGCTTGCTCCCGATGCGTTCGCATCTTGGCTTTTCTGCGTTTCTTTTGCCTTTGTTTCTCGATCATCAGTGCATGACGACCCCTGGCCGTTATGCCCCCTAGTCACGACAACCTTCCAACCCCACTGCCAACGCTGATTATCGCTGCAATTAATGGTCTATCAAGCATGTCTGTCAGATGATTCACGGGTACTGCATTAAAACACAGCTACAAATCACACGGGCACCTCTAGAGCTCTTCTTCACACTGGACACACGTACGGACCATGCGAAACAATATCCCTGTAGGGCGATGCCAAAAGTACGACTCAACTCTGCTAATCTCACCAGGGTGGATTGCGACGAAAAGATTAATATAAAGCGGCTATTAAGTGTGTCACAAGCGCGGACCAACTTCCGAATATCAATACGACATGACTACATCGCTTCATGGGTATAGGCCCAAATGGATGCCAAATCAGCCGATGTTTCAGCGCATTCCATGGGTGAACCTCAGTCGCGGACAGGCAACCATGACATCAACATTGTAAACACGCCTCTTATATTATATCACGCGTGGCCCATGGATTAGGCAACTGACACTAGCATCATCTATGCCCGACTGTATGCAGACAATCCAGAAGCGTCCTTTTTTCAGGCGGATGCTACGCGGACAGCGCCAGCTCTGAGCTAGTAGTCTGTCTCACTGTACCGCAGACTAAGCCATGCTCCGGGTAGGATTTCTAAACACGGTTACGTCGACATAGCAATGATGTCGCCGGTAATGTGCTATCCAAATGATCAACATGGCTTGTCGTTGCCGTACATATTGCCGGCGATACGCTCCGATATCCCTACGTTATTTACAGCAACAGACTTGACACAGGCTGACAATTTCGGTGGATCCCCGGCCTTGGTTAATCTGGTAACCTTTCTCGACGCAACTAATAAGCATCTGGCATAAGAAAAAAGCCACCCTGCAACTGCGGTGAATCATTTGTATGTTGGCAAAGCGATCATCCGCGGATTGGTGCCAGGCGTATTTTGCTTTCCCGGATCGCGATCTATATAGTCAAGGATTCGATCCTACGAAGGATCGGCCTGCTACGGTGCCTAATCACCCGTAACGGAAATTGAATTGTATCCCGGGTCTTGCAGGCCGTCAAAGCATATGGAGCATTTTTGTAGCTGAAGAACAGCCCTTATCCTGGCTCCCTTGCAGTGATCTGTCTGAAAGCTAGTTTCTGCACTGCATAAGCTCTCGTAGTATCTTTCCGTTGCTGAATTCCAAAAGATGCCAAACAGCACCGACAGGCGGACCACCTGGTCTCTGATGCTGAAGCAAGGAGTAAAGCGGATACGCAACTCGACAGATAGTCTATCCAGTCGACTACCTCGTCACGGCCCCACAAGCTGCTCAGTATCTGTACAGAGTAGTTACTAGCATCATCGCCTCAGTAGGCTCCACTCCCACAATGATTCATCGGCTGTTCTCCGGAGAATTGACGTCATGGCGTGATGGCTATTGGGATACTACTTGGTGGCCTCTAACCAATCCAGGTAAAACGGCCAATTATTGAAGATCGCGTAGACGCACGCCCATTTTATATCGCGTTGTATCGCGCGAGATACGTCTGTTAGGTGGTCAGAAGACTGACCATCACCTTGATCTAACCCCTGACTCAGGTCGCTTCGAGCCATATGCCGGGATTAGCTGGCGATTGTTCTTCTCTGTAGCAGATAACTCTGTATAAGAAAGTACAAATGCCCCGCCGAAGCAAAGCGGGGAACCACCATCGTGAACTAACATGGCACAGACCCATGCAGTCTAGACTGACCCGACTGCCTATTGGTTGTCGTTCTCTGCAACGTCCCAGCCGATAACGTGGGAGTGATTTAGCGTACAATTTAGATAGCCGATTGGATTTGGGACTGCCTCGATACGCTCGTCAACAGTCGACGATCCCTCCCGTTCCCCCGAGACACAACGTATTGGGCTCGGAGGAATATCCTCCGGGAGAAGTAGATGATGGAGAGGAGGAAATGCATATGTCGTTGCATCCACGCTTTGCGGTTGGCCATAGGTCGTGTGGGGACTTGGCTGGTGCTTTTGGATGATTGATGTCATTCAGGGTAGTATGGCCAATGTGACCTTGAGGGCTCAGTACTGACCTCTAGGATAGAAGTGATAGCCCCCTGTTCTACTAGGTGCACATGACGGTACAGATGGCAATAGCACAATGGTGGGAACGACTATTTCCCGGATACTATTATTGTGTGGTAAATAAATTATATTAAAAGACGTATAGGCACGTCATCTGGATAAGAGGAGGATGGAAATATCAGCCAGACTAATCACATATTGACCATTATGAACCATATTAGGAAAAAGGAACACCCCATAGCTCCATCCCAGTAACCTGAAAAACAAGGAAAGAAAAGAAAAAAGGGTAAGAGACACAAAAGTCCCTAGTACAACCTCAAACCAACAACTCCATAGGAATTTTCTCCGTATGCTCCAAACGCTCCCACCAATCCTCTTCAAAAAGCTCCATCTCCTCTGTCCTCTCGATATCCCACCACGGATGCGGGATCATCCTCCTGGGTAACTGCCTGTCGGACGGAATCTCCAAGAGTAAAAGTCCAGCGGGAATATCGCCCTCGTCAGTATTTAGCCGCAAGCGTTCGTCGAGATTCTGCAGCTGCGACGCATGTGAATCGAAAATATTCTTCAGTCGCGATATCCCCTCGGGCGTGCCTTTAATCTCAAACGCAACCTCCTTCAAGTTCGGACACTCAGACAACATCCCCAAAACACCCTCGATGGTAGCTTCCGGGTCGTCCTCCCCGAGCCCAAACTCCTCGAGCACATCCCACTCGAACCCGAGAGTCAAATGATGGATGTGTAACTTGGGGTCGAAGCCCTCGTCTGGATCGCAGTGCCGATCGTTCATGTACACCAGCAGCTCAGCCAGGTATGGCGCATTCCACACCTGGAAGTGGTTCTTCTCATAGTAGGTTTCCAGCGCTTCCTTGGTGACGGCGCTGTCGCGTGTGATGTATTTCTGGCAGAGGAGGATGGCGTCGCCGAGGACGGCGTCCCGGACATCTGTATCCGGCATGATGAGGAAGGTATCCGTTGTCAGGAGCTGGTCGAAGATTTCCTCGCGAAAGATGGGCGGGATGGATAGGAAATGAGCGTAGGAGGAGAACCCGGTGTGCTGTCGGAAGAAATTGTCCAGGCGTAGTCGGAGCTCTTGTTCGAAGTTCAGCATGGTTGCTGATGCAGGTGGACTGCTGAGAGACTTCTGAGAGATTGGTGTCTGCAGTAGGACAAGGGGCGGTGAGCTTCTGTTTGGTGGAATGTCCTTTTTGCTTCTGTGGTTTGGACCGGGTGGTTGTTTCTTACTTATAGCTTTCGGATGCGGTGGTCCCTGGTCTATGTTGGAAGGATTATATCAACGGCATTAAGCTATTTGTCGGTCGTGACAAAAGAGATCGAACTGTCAAGTGAGGGGTAAGCCCAGTGGGGTAAACGAGAGGCGTTTGCTTTGTGCTTTTAATGGCTGCTACGGTGCCGCGGCGCTTAAGAAGGGCGTCAAAACTAGGGTTATCATGCGGAGAGAAACGGTCATGGATGACGGATTCGGAAGGGAAACCGCATGGATATCGATTGACAACCAACCTCTATAACATATCGCGCTAAAAAGGAGGAAAGAAGACGAAGTGATAGGGAGTGTAAGTTCTGTGGTGTCGTACGATAGGATTCCTATCCACTATAATCCGCACTAAACACACCGACCTCGCTGACTATTATTCCCTTGCAATATTACTGCAGCTATAACCACATGCTGTGCGAACAATCTCTCTATGCCAGGTACCTACGCGCTAGAGGTGCAAACAAAGAAGTAGGGGTGCTCACAGGTCTCGGGACAAGACTAGGTATTTCTAAGGACAATGCGCGAGATGGTATAACCAAGGTCAGCTGCGTACATGCTCAAAGACGTGATAATAATATCGCACGAGGTATTTTTAAGCATCGTGGGTACGCTGGCTAGTCGCAAAGCGAGGCGCTGCACCCACATAAATCGGAATACTGTACCCATAGCAAGCTCCATCTTAGCCGCCGGGGAAGCACATCTCGTCTAAAAGCGGGGAAACAACTGGGATCCAACTTTTCGTTTTCGTGCTAAAAGAAAAAGAAAAAGGCTTGCAGCTTGTGGCCCACTTGGGGCGAACTGAATGGCTCGTTTAGCGGCACTACCGTATTCAGCGCTTAGCATGGCCAATCATCAGTTATAAAAGGAACCAAGGGACAGAAGTCCAGGGGTTTAGACCCAATTTAGACACTAATAGGTTCACTATCTCATGTGGAGGAACTGAGCCGATTCCGTTAATAACCCTAAGTGTGGTTCAATCGACTAAAGAACCCTAAGACAATAGTCAGGTGAGCTTCGCCACTCTTGACCAAATGAGTATATCTGTGCATCTCAGCCACTCTATAGTATCTTTGTGGGCAATTAAATATATCTCTCTTTGTGTGTTCTACTCCATATGCAGTTAAAATGGATTAACATCTAGAACCAAATGTGCTTCTTCCGATATGACGAGATCGGGATGATTGACCTCTATCGAACCTCTAATAGACCCGGTAAGCGGGCGCTCAATGCTTTAATGCATTCACTACGACCGATGCTTCGATTTGCATTCAAGAATATCTCAGGATAGCCTATTGTAGAGTCACCGAGTACATATTGGAAGGATTCACACCAGATTCAGGATTTCAACTGAAGGAAGTCTTGCATGGTCATGTGAGCAATATTGCATCTTTCAACAGAAACTATTGATCACTAGTCTAGCGAAAGAAAAGATCCGAATCGGAGCTCCCTAGTGCAATTAAGATATGCCCCACTTGGTTTGCTTATAACGGGATGATGTGTTAAATCAGTTACGGCCGGTGCATCGACAACCGTTCTATGCATATTTCCATTGCCCCCACCTCTACTACTTATGCCCGATGGTAATCTATCGACTGTTGCAGTACTTTTGGTTCTATTCAGGGGCTCTCGCGGAAGTGATATGTCTGGCACACCCATCACATGCAAGGGGTTATGTGGATCGGAGGATCCCCATCTCTATCATCTCCATCATCATCTGCCAAATATGTGACTAGTTTGCCGTTCCATGTTGATCCTCGGTTAATGGTAAAGATACAATATTGACTGCTTCGGCGGCAGTGAAAGTGAAAAGAAGGAGAGATGGTGTCAATATCGAACCTGGATCCAGCCGTCGACCCTTCTGACCGCGTTGCTCTATAATCAAATGATAGCTTGGATATGCTGTATCACCACCAGGGACGAAAAGACTACCACGATTATCAATATATAGGACAATCTTACCACTAGCTTATAGGTCTTATATCTTGCTCTGAATGTATATATCAATATAATGTAATCTCTGAATAATAGAATCTTGGATATCTCCTAGAGCTCGTGAGCTGTATAATGGTTCGTTGACGAAAAACGATATTATCTAGTATTTGGGTGGGATAGACTGCCGGGTGAATTCCAGGTTAAACATTGCTCTGTCAAGCCAGCATAGACGGCGTCTCAATCCGAAGAATCACACCGAACTTAGTCTAATTGACTCCCCTGCCCCAGACAGTCTCACAATTCTGGCTACTATACAAGCCATATCTAGCAGTTCCTTGGAACATAGAAGCATCGTTTCAGGGCCTGTAATGGAAAAACTAAACCGGTCACGGGTCTTTACCATTCGTACAGAGTCCCCATATCTGAGAAATAGCTCAGACAACAATCTATCCCACGTCATAATCTGGTCCACGTTTATGGATATTGCTGGGACCATTTTCACAGCTATTCGATCTTCCGATGTTCTCACCGGCTGCCAGTGCCACTCTACCTCGATTGTCGTCTTGTCACCGTTGTAATTTAGATGGCTGAAGGCAGAAATTCCAGCCGACCGCATGCGACGAATATCTTGTGAAATGCACATTGTATTGAAGACCGAATCGACCTGTCTAGATGGATGTGTTGGATCTGTAAGATATAGTTCAACATATCCAGGATACTTTGACCTCTTCCTAGACTGACAATTCTGGATGGCGTATATGTCATATCCAACTAGGGAGGGGATAAATGACAGGATCGTCTGTATGTAAGATATCTCATCACCTGTTTGCAAGTCTCATATCCGGCCCTGTATACGTGCATTGTAACACAATACCTTGGGAATGGTGTCTTCGATATCCCTCAGGCCTTGTCAGCTGCACAAGAAGTCGTTCGCAGAAACGACACCATACATTGGTTTAGGCGGGACGGACTGCCGGACGAATTTAGGTTGACCGTGGCTCTGTCAAGTCAGCATAGACACTGTCCTGAAGATACAGCGCTACATTTGTGAAACTTGGCTCCTTTAATTGAAGACCAGGCGCGTCCTTTGGCTGACTGAGCATTTGCCATGTTGGACACTGAGCTTGGAGATGTGGACACGAATAAGAAAGAAGAAGAGCAGGTAGACATCTATTTATCCTGGTGCAGGGTTGCTACCTAGAACCGACCATTGAACGTCTACCACACGCCGCCGTGCTCACTTTTACTCACTTACTGACTTGGTTGTGAATCCAATAGTGTGGTAGGTGGACAGTGAAGATATTGAGGGCTCCAGATCATTCTGATCTAGTAAATGTGATTAATATTAGTGATATGACTGCAAACCCAGAGCAATAAATACATGTGAATCTTCGAAAAGCTGGCGACATTCACTTTCATGATATGGTGAAAGAAGGTCAATATAAGCTCATTTCACTCTGTGTAAAGTGTATAAACTATAAGCCTCTTGCAGGCTAAACATGTGGCCGATTAAAATGTTAATGAAGTTATTGATAAGTGACCTCCACCGTTCTTCGCACTGTAATATCCTCTAACCGCTGTTGTCGTTGATTCGATTCCACATCGGCGTTGAGTGCGGGCCGATAGCCCCTATCTTCCAGAGTGGCCCAGGATAACTCATTTGCATCTGTCGGGCTGTGCAAGTGGCCTTCTGAAACGCGCATGATGGACTCGCCAGAGCTGCCCTGGTGTGTCGTGAATGTCGTAAATGTCGTAACGTTTCGGATTGCTGTTCGCCCGCGCAGAGGTGCAGTACGTAGTGGCTCCGGGTAGTTGGAGTATTCTGGGGGTTGTAAATGGAAGACCACACGGATGAGTGGCCACATTAATGGGAGATTGGCGACGTAGACTGCGGTGGATAACTCAGCCGCATACCATCTCTACGGCCAACAGTCAGTATAAAGTCTAATAGGAAGTGTGGGGACTGACCATGAAGACCATGGAACCGAGAGTGCTCAGGCTGTAGTATCGATTTAGAACGGCCATTAAAACCTGAAGATGTCAGGAAGAAAGTAACATGGGAGGTGGGAATACGTACAACAATAAACCCAAGACCAAACACGCCACACACAGCAATTTTCCTATGGCAGTCAGCTCGGAACATAAATGAGCTTGGGGCTACTTACTTTCCCAGGCGGAGCGGGATCGAATGAACAGGGGTAATGGGATGCACAGCATTATCAAGTCAGAAGAAATATTGAAAACTGCGGACACAATCATGTGGTTGAAGTAAGTGGAACATTGGACTAGCCGAAAAATCAGTGAAATTCAAAGGCGTCGGTATTAGCTGGGCGTACAATCGTCGATCACAGCTGGGGACCCTGTTACTAGTCAGTATACTCGACTATTTGGTAGCGATCCAACGACGTACAATATCGTTCAATCGGTCGACACCAGACGGCGCAGAGCAGTATTTCGATCAATATATAGGAGACTCCAACGTATACTGCAAGTATCTGGACCACGATATGCTCGTTCAATAGTCGCCTGGAAGGAGACTATCAGCTCCTTGTTGGCAATGTTTTCAGACCGACGTACGTTAATCGGCTGTAGATTATCAAGAGGCAGCATTTGACTAGCCAGGTTGTCGCAGTGCAGAATTGCTCCATGGCAAAGCACATTTTATTCCCCCATATCAGTAGCTCTTGCGCATGTGGGGTTAAATTCTCAGCATGAACCTCTGGCTGGCTATTGACCCATCCCACTTCATTGATGCTGACCATTGCCCCAGTATACATAATCTATTCAGCAATTAACCTGATGTCTTGCGTTGCTTGTGCTGAGCCTTACCGCAGTAAAGCACATTATGTAGTCATCGATGTGCATTCTCTTCCACGATCCCTTTGCGATCCGTTGCGATATTCTAGCTTCATGAGTATTCGAATTAAATCTCACGGGGTAACGAACAGGCGACACGCAATAATCAATATCCCTATAACGACAGACGTTAGAAGACGGCTAGAATAAATGACAGGCGTTGAACTACCAATGACATATAGAATCCATGTTTCAATGGCGAGATCCCTGGAGAACGTGGTGAAGGATTCTCCCATGATCCTTGCCACGAGCCACGAGCGTTAACATGCACAATATAGCATACCTGTTGGACAAAGCATTCCGAATAAAATAGTATGCTGTGGATATATAGGGGTTTTCTCGGGTCTTCAATGTGCCGTGTTCTTGCCTATCTTTCACTAGATCCAACATTATTTCACGCTACGTAAGAGGCGATAGCAGACTCATTTTAGCCATTAAATGAGCTGCTCGGACTACAGTAACTATTTCCCGAGTCAATCCTTGTCATTTATGGTGTACGCACTAGTTGACCTTTGGCAACGCGTTTCAATTGTGTCGACATTTCCTGGGAGAGTGGGGCGAGAAGCACGGTCATGGCAGGTGTATCCCGAGACTTAGGTTGGTGTGGAGAATCATCCTGCTGAGATCGGCGTCGCACGATATCTTAGCGCGTCGTAAGATAGTTCCTTGTACTGCGTAGTATCTCCTCCTAATCATCATTGAGCAATATTTATACGAGTGTGATATTGTTTATGACTCGATACTAAGTCCGGCAAGGTGCCTGGTGGAAGCACTAGACAGTCCCCATACCAGCCTTAATCAACCAGAACGAGGCGACAGATAGTGGGATCTGGTAATGATCATCGGTCTATGACTCTACACAGTATAGAGCTTAGCATTACCGACGTGTGAATCGCAACGGTTGCCAAGTTTGGTCTTTTATCCGCAGCATATCCTCTAATGGAGCAATGGCCCTATCAAATACGCCTGAACTGTTAGAATCAGCGCACTATGGCGGTTAGAAGATAGAGTCGTTATAACGTATGAATTGTAGACATCATATCTCCAGTTAAAATATTGACTGATGAAATCCCAACTAATCCCAAGACTTTTTTCGTGCTGGGAAGCAAGTTATATCACCATCTTCATTAACGAGATATCCTGTAGTACTCCTGTCAGCAAGCAGTCTTGTATACTGTCGGTAGGTAGTATACCTATAGGGAATGTGGTTTGGGTTACATATGCCCCCGTCACAGGGTTTTGGGTGTTCGTTCGACATGTGCATCGGACATCGTGTCTTCTCACGGCGATGTCGTGAGGTTCTGGTATCAAGGTGCACCCGTAGCAATCACCACGTCGGAAAGCGCCCCCGCTGCGATCATTAGTACTTATACTCTAGTGTTGAATCAAGATAACATACTCCCATTGGCGAACCAAGGCTCCCTTTGCCTTGTCGTAACCAAGGCAATAGTTGAGATCTATACATGAGTTTCTGCTGATTCTACCGTTGAATTTCACGCAGTCGGCGCAAAACACAGGTGCCGATGGATGGTGATTTGCCATCGAATACTCTTTAAGATAGGCGTTGGTGCATTTTTCCACGTAATCGACACGCCTGCCGTCCCAAGTTAACGGCCTGGGGTCGCGTTGAGGTGGCACCTGCTGTGCAGGCTGCCTATTCTCCGCGGGTCTCGATTGCTTTTGAGGACGCCGCCCAGGTCTGTTGTTAGGTCGGGTTAGCCTTTCCGGTGGTCCTTGTTCCACGGAAAGACTTCCGCCCTGACTGAATGCCCAGCCACATAGATATATTGCGATAATGACGATCCAAAGTCGACGCATCTCGGCTCTATGGGCAGATAGGTCTGTTCTCGTAGAACGCTGGCTGAGGAGGAGGTTCTGTGCAAGTAAATATCTCTTCCATCGGGATCCACTATGCTTACTCGCGGTTGACTCCTTCGGGTTGTGTGCTCTGTGACAGGTGCGCCTGCATCCTTTAATTGCTATCATGTAGGCCCTTTCTTTGTGATGTCTTTGTTTAACGGGGTCGGGCAACAGCCCAGAGACTGGTGGCTGTTCTCGGCAAGTGGAGGCGCATTCGGGCAAATAACTCAGTATGGCCATGCTTCCCAACTATAAAAAAAAGGCTTGGAGTCAGTGGAAGAGGGTAAAATTACCTGCGTATCTCTTTTGGAAGGCAAATTAGCAGCCCGCAAATTAATCCGTCGAAGTGAGGCTGTCGCCACCAGAGTTATCACTGACAATTAGCCAAGTTGTGACATTAGGAGAGTTATCCCCCTAAACTCTATCAAGGAGGACGGTGGACAAGACGCCCGAGACCAAGGTTTTACTCAAGCAGTCGCTTTATACACCCATTTCCTGAGTTAGAAGCTGAACAGGTTTGGACGCAGTAATTGAGCGCTTTGCACGGCACGCGGATCATTGCTGGCGGGATCGTCCAGGCACAGACCCACAGCGCAGCATCTGGGAACCAGCGTGCCGATCCAGGATTCAAGGAACTTATCTTGGGCTGCAGGGGCTTTATCAAGACCAGGATTCTCTTAATGAATCAAGAAGGTATCAGTACACTAGGCCTGAAGAAACTTGAATACAAGTACTGGGTACGTAAAAAAAATGCCTACTCAATTCTGAGCCAAGGGCAATTTAGGCTTGCTAGCATCAATCCATACAACATGGGACGCTCATAAGATTAAAGTATTTCTTACAACGGTGCGTGATGTTTAGAGACATGCTAGACATTGTGTGATCTCCGAGAAGCTAGTCCACAAGGTCTTGTTTCGACCATAAGAGAAATGGCTTGGCTATAGCTCCGTGAGGAATATGGGCCTGGGTAACTAGCTATCCATTCTTATTAACGCAGAATTCTGGTTTCAGTTCTATATCAAGTATTCTGGTAAGGGCTGGAAAGCTGAGAGGTTCAAGAAGTGCCTATCTTAGGCTACAATGTGGGTGTTTCCTAGTCGACATGGGCCGGTGCCTCGATACTGTTTACAGATGCTGGGATACGGTGTAGATTGGTAAACTGAGAGACATCAAGAAGTGGATACTTCAGATCTAACCCTACACAATACCATTCTGCAGATCACCTGCAATAGTAGAGATGTCTCCCTGTTGATGCCGGTAAACCGAGGCAGTAGTCACGGAAAACGAGGTGGTTCCCCGAAGATATCTACAATGAAAATTCGATAATAAGTTGTACTTATGATATTGGCCGACTCCTGGTACCAGAATGCAAATAGCCAGAGCTTATATGTGATTAGGTACTGTAGAAATGGTTATGTCAATAATATATGCAGAGAAATTAGCTTAGATGTCCATATTTGTGCGAAAGGAACACTTTAGTTATGATTCTGTTTTCGTCTCCTTGCCCACTCTACAACGACACCACCTTCACCAAACAGAAACTGTAACCACTGATATGCGGAAGGACTGTTTAGACGTCAATAAAAAATTCAAGTGCCAGCGGTATTCCTATGACTAGCGCAAGCACCTGATAGAAACAATTCGTGAACCTGTGCGAGGGAAATAAATAAGCGATCACTTGCAGACAGTTCCCCACAAGTATCCCGCAACCGGCCGTAAGCTGCAACTCGGGGTTAAGCTATCTTGCTTACGGCCGCCTAGTTGCGCTTCTCGAAGGAATACTTCAGCTTGGGCGAGTTTGCGGCTTGCAAAGATGATGGACATGAATGTTTAAATACGAGCTTGTGGACGCCTTAATAAATCGGGCGGTTTCACACAGTGTCCCAGTTCAAACACTCATCGGGCTGAGGGCTGACTCGCTGCTTATGGGAATTACTTGGTGTAGGAGTAGTTATCGATAGCAGGATTGAGTGTCTTCAGTGTTCCGGGCAGATATGAGTAAGATTCAGATAGAATATCACTTCTGCTGCCTGCGAGTCGATTAGATTGGTGCCTGTGGTCTGAGTCACGAGAGGCCCAGAGCCCTGGTCAAGTACAACGTTGTTGCCTCAACTCAAAATCAATGACACCATCAGCTTCGATTGCTTTCGGGACCCACCCGAAGGGTATGGCTTACTGTGACAAGCATATGCAGGCCAGGAGCTATCTTCGCTTGGGGCTAGTCTGACCGAACGACGCCGACTGATCCGGGCCTCCCGACGGAATTTCTCCACATATTCTGGAAGGCTTGTACACAATCTCACTCCGCTGCCCTCCCATTGGCGCAACTAGCTGTTCTAATCGTTTTTCGTGGCTGTGAACACAACAGTACCTAGTAAACAAATATCAGTACTTAAGCAGCGCTTTTCCCATAGTTTTTGTACTCCCTTTTACCGTCTTCCCATCCCACCCGGCACGCCATGCTCTCCCCAGTCCGTCTGCTCCCTCTTATTGGGAGTCTCCTCCCTATAGTCTCTGGGCTGCCTACCACCAGCCCATCGCCTGTAGTTCTTCCTCCCAGTGTAGACCCTTTCTACAGCGCCCCCCATGGCTACGAGAGCACCCGTCCCGGCGCCATCCTGCGCCTACGCCCCGCTCCGGGCAATCTGACTGCGTCGGTCGGTAATGCTTCTGCAGCATACAACATCGTCTACCGCACCACAGACAGCCAATATCGCCCTTCATGGGCCGTGACTACCGTCTTCGTTCCCTCCAACCCTCGCCCCGGCAACTCTTCTCTTCTCTCCTACCAAATCGCATATGACTCCCACAGCATTAACGCCAGCCCCAGCTATGCCATGTACACCTCGCCTCCCATCGACATCTCCCTCGCGCTGAGCCAGCTGGTACGTCAATGTCCCGGACTACGAAGGTCCCCTCGCTTCCTTCACCGCAGGTGTCCAATCGGGCCACGCGACACTCGACTCCATCCGCAGCATTATCCACTCCAACACCACCGCCTTCAACATTAAAGCTTCGTCCTCCCGCACAGCTCTATGGGGATACTCCGGCGGCGCCCTCGCCAGCGAATGGGCCACCGAGTTACAGGGACAATACGCGCCCGAGCTCTCTCTTGCCGGTGCAGCTCTCGGCGGACTCACACCCAACATCACGAACGTGATGAACACCGTGACAGGGAACATCAACGCGGGACTCATCCCAGAAGCCGTCCTCGGCCTGGCCAGTCAATACCCCGCCACCTACGAGTACTTGGTCAGCCAGCTCAAGCCAGAGGGAAAGCACAACCGCACGACCTTCCTCCTATCGCAGAACATGACTCTCGCACAGGCGGAGGCGTCCTTCGCCGGGCAGGATGTCTACGAGTATTTCGTTAACGGCAGTGACACCTTCAAGGCCCCTGTTGTGCAGTATGCGCTGAACAGGGACGGGTACATGGGCTACCATGGCGTGCCGCAGACCCCTATCTATGCGTACAAGGCGACCCATGATGAGGTCAGCCCTGTCGGCGATACCGATGCGTTGTTGGAAAGGTACTGCGGTGTCGGCGTGAATATCCTCTATGAGCGCAATACCATCGGCGGGCATTCTGCGGAGGGTATCAATGGCCATGCGAGGGCGCTGCAGTTCCTTGCCGCCGTCTTGGATGGGTCCTATGCTAGTGTGTACCAGACTAGGGGATGCACGTTCAGGGATGTTGCGGTGAATATCACTGATTCGGCGCTGTGAAGCGGTCGGGTTGGTGTCTACGAGTGATGTTTGTATGGATGTATAGTATTTTTATCCCAGGGTGAAGATTAGCATATGGTGCATCATGCATATATATATATATGGAGTTAGAGATTTGCATACAATGAATTTCGAAAAAGCAAGTTACTATTTATTCATTAGAATGCAAGTCGCACAATCGTATTACGTACCTCTTAGTTCTTCTCCATATACTATTTCAACACTCTAGTATCTCTTCTATATCTACCTTGTTTTACTGTATATCATGTTTTCGTACATGGTTCGGATGATTACCTACTCCGACCCCGGTATCGTTTTACCTAATTTTCTCATAACATCCACACATCGTAGGCGGTAAGGGATCTTCACGATGAACTACTAGTACCAATGCGTCAAATTGCCCGTCTTTTATTGGGCCCGTAAGCGGGAAAAAAATGTTTGCCTGAACTTCATCCGGAAGGGCAAAACAAGTCACACGAGGTGATCATTGCTTAATTGATGGCGGGATTTGGAATGTTAGTTATCTGTCATGGAGTTTGAGTTGGCAGTGGGCATGCTCTGAACTTGCAGGAGGGAGTTCGTGTCAACTACATTATGTATTTATTTCTGATTGTATAGTATAGTATTGATCCAATGAATAATCAATCTAGTCGTCATATGTCGTTCATAGCAAACCCTGAATACCGAAGAGAAAACAGCTCCAAAGGGTCCATTATGTCATCGCTAAAGAAAAGAAAAAGAGATGTAAAAGAAACTGAACACTCATGGCCCGCCTAATGTCTCAAGGCGACCTTGGTTCCATTTCTCGAACACAATGTCAAGGTCAGGTTCTCCTCCCACGGGCCCGGATCGCGACTTTCGAGAACAGAGAACTGCTGCGCAAGACGCACAGTGACGTAGCCGGCCTCAGTCAGTGCATACTGTTGGCCGACGCAGATACGGGGCCCGCCGTTGAAGGGCAGGTACTCCCATGACGGTCGCAGATCGGCCCAGCGCTCGGGGCGGTACTCGCTCGCATCGGGGCCATAGAAGTCTTCGCGGCGGTGCATAGAGTACACGCTGTAGGCAACGATGGAGCCCTTGGGGACGAACACGGGCGCTGTGCCGTCCGGGCCGCCGCCGACAGGAAGGACCGTATCGTTGACAGCAAAGCGGGCGTGGAGGGGACGACGGGGTGGAGACGTAGGGCTGATTGGTTAGCTGATGAAAGAATATGAAAAGGGTGGTCGGTCAGGATACTTACATTCGTTCATGCAGTACTTGAGATACGTCAGATTGCGCAATTGTTCATAAGTCGGGGCGCGACCTTCCAATGAGGCGACCTCCTCGCGCAGCTTGTTCCAGACGTGGGGGTGCTTCGCCAGCATGAAAAACATGTTGCTCAACAGCGATGCCGTAGTATCCCGACCTGCGAGAAGCACATTCATCAACTCGTCCCGGATGCGCTTACGATCGCCGGTTTGGTGCGCCAACCCTTGCAAAAACAGATACCGCTGCTTCTTGTCGTCCTCGGCCGCGGCTTTTTCCTCGTCGTAGTTGGCACGGTACTTCAACGCCTTTTCCACAAACTGTTCGACCAACTCGTGACACACCTGATTGCAGTGTTCCGCCTTGGAGTCTCGGAAGAAGTGTCGCAGTGGGCCCAAGCGTGTATTTTTGGCAATTGCATCCTGCGCATAATTGAATGAACTGGCGAAATCGTTCTCGTCCAGTTTCACACCCGAAATGCGTTTCTTGAGGGACTGGACGCTGTGTCCGAACAGGAATTCCGTAGCCGAATCGATCGTGTAACAGAAGAACAGGTCCTGCAGGTCGACCGTGGTGCCGTCGGTCGGGATCAAAGTGAGCAGATCGGCCATGAGCTCCTCGAAGATATCCAAATGCGCGACTTGATCCTTGACGAAATTCGGACGGATCATCGCGCGCGACTGGGCCCAGTGGTCGCCGTCCGTCGTGAAAATGCCATGGCCGAGCAAGGGGCCGAATGCGTGGATCCGATTGCCGAGTCCGTAGTCCTTGAATTTCAGGGACAAGACCGTTTTGATGTTCTGGGGTTCACACGTGACAATGATGGGGGTCCGCAGACGTCTGGCGCGAAAGGTGTTTCCAAACTCTTGGAAGCGAGACCGCGAGCGTTCGAGGATGACGTGTTTCTTGGCGGCATCCAGGTTGTTGTGAATGCTGTCGAGTCCCAGGAATGGGTCTTTGTTGACTTGACAACGGACCGGTTGGCAGTTGTTCGCGCGGGCCATGCGATATTGGTGGTATTTCCGCTGGAGGGCAGTCACCGTATAGAGGAGGAACACCACGGCGCCTGCAAGCAGGGCTACCGGGTAGTGAGACGAATTCAAGATCATGGTGGTTGAGTCGTCGCGAGGAAAAGAAGGCGAGTGTGGACCAGGGTGGTGGGGGAAGCTTTTATATATACTTTCGATGCCGACAAAGGAACAAGGGCAAGGACCCGCACCTGACAATGAGTGTAACCTTCACAGGAGTATTTGCCGAACCTCAACCATAGAGAGCTTCAGCTTTAGAAATTAGCTCGGTGGACACGTCTGGGGGGCCCGCACGCGATGAGGAAAACCGACAGGGCCGAGGCTTACGAACGGCAGATCTGGTCCTTTCGCAAGGTTTACCAAATGGGAATAGCCTTAGCTTCTACCAAGTTTTGTGAATAATCACGGATGAACCGAACTGAAACAATTAACAATTCTCCCGCGGCCCTTTTATTGGTTACGAGGTATAACACCGTAGTCGGGTGTCAGGTGGTATGACCTCAAAAATTCTATAATACCGGTTCGATCTAAATCAAACTAGCAGCAATATACATAGAGAAGGCGATAGATAACTGACGTTTTTAGGAGAGAAAATGTTGAATAATCATTACTCATCGAGTACATGTGAGTCCGACGAAGACGCGGATCGGTCGTATTCTAAGCAGTTTCGCGTTAGACTGCGAAGGTTTAAGCCTTTTGCCTCAGGCCTGAAGGTTGGAGGTGCACCGCCTCTCGGTCTGACCGTCATGGCGGGCGCCACAGCTCTCAAGCATTACCCAATCTAGTCTAGGGGGATCATGCCCGGTATTCTCCCTGCCTGACCCTCTCCACCAAACCCCTCAACACTCCGCCTAACCACTCAAAATCCTTGGCCTCCAGATATACTTGAGCACTCAGACGCGTCCACAACCAATCACCGTGTTGGAAAACCGGAACAAAGGTGTCAAACTCATCTTTTAAAGTCACCTGGAGGAAATGCACCACCTTGCTGACATCTGCAGCAGCCACCATAGGAGAAGGTGACGACAACGTTCCATTCTCCTGTCCACTGACGGCGATCGGTAATCGGACTGTAGACATTCCGCACCGACGGAGCTGGCTCCTTTCCCCGGGCCGGAGATCGGGCTCCTGCAGGACGTCCGTGCCGAGTGCAGCTGCAACAATGTCACCGCCTTGGATCGCGAGCTCCTCCAGGTATTTGAAGATAGCGTCATGTCCGCCGCATACGTCAGTGCGGAAGCGTACGGCCTCGGGGACCGTCAGATAAGCCGCATCATCGCTCGTAGCTACAAACTGGAAAAGCTCTTCAAAAGCGGACCGTTGGCTCCCTACCGGCGTCAGAATATTCGGCTTGTCCGCCGCGGATGACGTGGGATCCGCAATAAAGCCCCAGGATGTGGGGAGTGTCGTGCGGATCAGATGTTGATGGCGCACAGGAACGTAAAGAGCCGCACAACCACGGGGGACGTAGAGCCATCTATACAACACCATTAGTTTCGTTGAGAACGACCCCGAGGGCCAGTGGAGCTGTACTTGTGCAGATTACTTGTGAAAAAATCCGGTTGTAGCTCCTTCAGGTCCAACGGAATATGCCCGATTCCATGAGCGCCATCAACGACACTGAAAATTCCTTCGTCCTTGCAGACTCTGGTCAATTCCTCAAAAGGAAACCTCATACCCGGAAGACTAGTCACGGTATCATATACCGCCACTTTCACGTTTAATCCTTCCGATCGAGCTTGTTCCACAACATCTCTGAACTTCTGCACAAGAGTCTGGTGGCTGATAGGGCAAGTATAGTCCACTTTTCTTGCCTGGAGCGGGGTGGTTTCGGTCAACGAGGTGATCATCTTCTCAATGGCCCCGTAAATGGTCGCAAAGTATATAATCACATCTCCCTCTTTATAGCTGAGATTTCGGAGGATGGTGTTCACTCCGGTTGTGGCATTCTTGACGAACACCACTTCTTGTACAGGGACGTTGAGAATCTTCGCAGTTGCCAGACGTGACTCATCCAGCAGTTCACCCTGGGTGTAGCGGATGAAAGCATCTGGCCTCGCTTCGAGTTCGTCCTGGTACTTCCGAAGCGCATGTTTTACCTGGGCTGGATATGTACCGAAAGATCCTGGCGAACAGTGTAAGCATTAGATACCAATCCGCAAAGCAAGAAGGAAAGAAGCACAAAATGAGACAAAACATTTCGGGACGTGTGCAGGTACTCCGATATATATAACTCAAGGTTCTGGCGTTATATGATGCACATACCATGGTTGAGATTCTTATATTTGGGATCCAACAGAAAGTGCTTCAACATAGGTGCTCCATATGGAGTTAGTTCGTACGAAGGAGATGCCATTTTGCTTGCTCGGTTGAGTAATCCGGGTCTATGCAACTGAAACTATAGATGATGACTGCAGATCAATAACGTGGGTAATACGCCAAATACTTAAAATACTTACCAGGGTCGATAAGGATGGAGATTGAAAGAAAGTCATTTCACCGAGCTTGCCCCGCCAATGAAAACCAGTCGGATGGTCGGTAACAAACCCCACTTTTCACGCCCTTATCATGACCATCGGGTTCTCGTCCCGATCACTTGTTGTGTTGTTCACGGCTGGTCTGTGCACATGACCCCAGGGTCTTCAATCTGGTTCCCATTGACCATTTGGAGACTGCTTTTTGCAAGCTCCGCCGAGTACTCGTGCGCATCTCATCTCCGTACGCTCGTGGATCCTCTCTACACAGCGAGTGTTATCATTCTATCCAGCCTACTGACTGAAAATGGAACTAGAGACCTGGCATTCAGCGAGACAGGAAGACCCAACCAGGTCGAGTCTCTTAACTGACGAACCGCACAATGAAGTTCAACTACCCCGCGTAGATGGTGGAAAAGATGCATGGTTGTTCTTGGCGGCAGGCTTCATGATGGAGGCCCTTGTTTGGGGTATGTCGTTCAAACATTTCCATTTGGATGATCACCATCTCACGGCTCGCTCAGGTTTCTCATTTGCCTACGGCATCTTCCAGGACTTTTATACCACGCATGAGCCTTTCAAAAGCTCAGGGAACCCCGCCGTGATTGGAACATGCATGATGGTGCGCTAATGGCTTTCTCGCTGAACGACTGTTGAGGTGGCATAGCCTAACTATATCTTAGGGTGTAAACTACATGATCTCTCCTTTGACTTTTGCCCTTCTACAGGGATTTCCCGTTCTTAAGCGGTGGTGCTCTCCTGTCGGGCTTCTCATTATGTGCCTGGCTCTCGTTCTGAGTTCTTTCGCGACTAACACCACTCACCTTATTCTAACTCAAGGCATCGCCTGCGGGATTGGAGGCAACCTTGCCTATTCGCCCATGATTATCTTCATGAATGAATGGTTTGTGCACAAAAGAGGCCTTGCCTTTGGAACCATGTGGGTAGGGACTCCTTTAGTACCCTCAAATTGCCAATTATCGTTATCACGCTAACTATTCCACGTATAGGCCGGAACGGGTGTGTCTGGTGTGGTCCTTCCGCTGGTGCTTCAATGGCTTCTGAATGCTTATGGTCACAAAACTACCCTTCGAATCTGGGCCGTGGCTCTATTTTTGTTAGCTGCTCCGCTGCTCTATTATGTGAAGCCTCGCCTGCCCATTTCGCGTGCGTCCAGCGTCCGAGCGTTTGACTTGAGCTTCCTCTGGTCGCATACTTTCCTCATCTTCCAAATGGGTAATATCGTCGAAGCCCTAGGATATTTCTTGCCGACAATTTACTTGCCCACCATCGCACGCACTCTGGGTGCCAGTACTATCCTGGCGTCTTTGACCGTCATCTTATGCAACCTTGCATCGGTTTTTGGGTGCATCGCCATGGGCCATCTGGTTGATAGGTACCATGCGACTACCTGTATCCTCGTGTCAACCATAGGTAGCACACTTGCTGTGTTTCTCCTCTGGGGATTTTCCGTCTCGCTGGCGCCCCTCTACGTATTCTGCGTTGTCTATGGCCTTTTCGCTGGATCGTTCACCTCAACCTGGCCGGCCATCATGAACGAGGTGGTGAAGAAGAGTCAGTTGGCGGATCCCTCGATTGTCTTCAGTTTCTTGGCAACTGGCAGAGGAATCGGAAACGTTGTCAGCGGACCGTTGAGTGACGCCCTGATCAAAGGCTCATGGAGTTATGACCCTTCAGCCTTTGCCTATGGCACCACTTATGGCACCCTCATTATCTTCACGGGTATAACTGCGCTGTTTGGTGGATTAAGTATCCTTGGAAGACCCTTAAAACTGATCTAAGCTCAAAATTGACAAGTCCGGCACCAGGCTTCATGCGGTCTACGGGACACCCTGATCTGTCAGTATTCGTATCATGCTTAGAGATACTTCACGATGTGGAGTATCAATGATGTGCCTGCCATTGCATTAAGCCCAGAAGATAGAACCGGCATTCACTTCCACCCTTGACGGAATGGACAAAAGGAAAGGAAAAGCAAATTTTAGTATTAGGGAAGAGGTTTTTATGACATCTATCACATCCACAAAGTAAGCCCACTAAATATATGGTAACAGCCCCTTCCTCGCACAATGGAGTCTCGGCTATCATCCGGACTTGGCTTAAAAAGTTATGCATTAAACGCGTTGTTCATACAAAAGTTTTCCCATTAATCCAAAAAGTCAATTTATCTAACTAACAACCCAATCAATTGAATTCTGATGTAGGACCAACGACTTCTAACTTGATATCTCAAACCTTCCCTCCACTGGCCACGCTTAGCACGGTCCTCCATTCAATCTCATCCGGTGTATCGGCGTGGATGGATAACTTGACATCAAGAGCGCTCCGCAGCTGCTCCTTGGTGCTCGCGTAAAGCATACACAGCTATATTTTCTGCTCAGGCTTGGCCCGAATGTGCAAATCAATGAAGGGGAAGTGAACTTACTTTCAGCGGCGTGCTAGCAGGCACCCAGCTTATAAAAACTGTCTTGCACCGCTTGCCATCTTCTCCAAGGTCATATTCAACATCATACACCGCATAGCGTGGGGCAGGGTTGCCACGGCTATCCACAGCGGAGCTGAGTTTCTGGCGGAAGGCCTCGAAATCCTTTTCTGCAGATGATTCTTCTACTACAACCGCTGTTTGGTCGTCTGAGATCCGGTAGATCACGAACGTTGGCTTTTTTGTCCCTCTTCCGGAACGGAGTTGGCTGTAGGCGGTGATGCATTCATCCGCTATAGAAACGCTATTGGCAGTATAGTTAGTCAGGATGAGAGGAATGTGGAACGTCTTAACGAGTGTTGGTGAATATAGGAGCATACCCTGATGGCATCTACAGCCAGACTTTGGTGAGCGTAACTCTTCAAAGAGGAGGAGGACGATACATACCGACATGTTGATAGCTAAAGACTGAGATGGAGAAATTACTGTTAAAGAACCTGAACGTAATCTACTGAAGTCGACATTGATTTTCACTTTATATGATGGTTCCATTAGGCTGCTTAATTCAATAGAAAGTGAATGCCTAAGGATGATCGCCCTGATTTGCTCGGCGGATACCCGGGGCCGCGCAATCCGGGACGCCGAGCAGGTATCACGAACATGAACCCTAACTCATCCTGAGAGCGACACGCAATCAACCCTACCAAGATTCTGTTGCCTGGAAATATTGTTGCGTATTCACATTTATCTACATGGAGAATTAATGATGCTATCCTGCATATTTAAGCTGCCTAAAATACACCCCTTAGGCAATGATGTTATTTTATCTATAAGTACGCTGCACGTTCTCGCCCTCGTTTGCCAATAACTTCGTATCATGCGCTACCTCTGATCCAAGAATTTTATCTATTGCTGTTATAGTGCAGTGTCAAAAGACTCTATCTGCAGTCGAAGTTCACTAGTCAGTTTGGACCATCACACCATAGCCATTATGGACGGTAAGTATTTTGTCTCTCCCTTTCCATGGCCTAGGGACTACCTTACTCCTGTTGCACTTATATAGAAGGTAGAGATTGCTAATGTGCCGTATGACTTCCAGACGAAGTTGCTGCCGTTGTCATTGATAATGGGTACGACGGCCACAACCAGCAATCGATTAAAAATACTAATGCAATCCTTGCAGTTCCGGAATGTGCAAAGCTGGCTTTGCTGGCGATGATGCTCCCCGCGCTGTTTTTCGTAAGTCAATCATCTCTCATCTCCAGGAGCGAAGACTTTATGAAGACTGACAATTTACGCAGCTTCCCTTACTGGCCGTCCCCGCCACCATGGGTAATCCATTCCCGTTCTTTGTCCAAACCAGCAAACCCATTCAAGCACAACTAGCGTCACACGAATTATCCAAGATCGCCTACCACTTCAGGTATGATTAAGCTGCTAATGTTTGTCATAGGGTCATTATTGGCATGGGCCAAAAAGACTCCTACGTCGGGGACGAAGCGCAGTCTAAACGTGGAGTGCTTTCCCTCCACTACCCAATTGAGCACGGTGTTGTTACCAACTGGGATGATATGGAGAAAATCTGGCATCACACATATTTTAACGAGCTCCGCGTGGCCCCCGAAGAACATCCCGTTCTGCTGACAGAGGCTCCCATCAATCCGAAATCTAACCGGGAGAAGATGACTCAGATCATGTTTGAAACCTTCAATGTGCCGGCCTTCTACGTCTCTATCCAGGCTGTGTTGTCTTTGTATGCATCTGGTCGCACCACTGGTATTGTCCTTGACTCCGGCGATGGGGTTACACACGTGGTCCCGATCTACGAAGGATTCTCTATGCCACACGCCATCGCTCGCATGGACATAGCGGGCCGTGACTTGACAGACTACTTGGTGAGAATCCTAGCAGAGCGCGGCCATAGCTTCACTACATCCGCCGAGCACGAGATCGTGCGCGACATCAAAGAGAAGCTCTGTTACGTTGCGCTAGACTTTGACCAGGAGCTCGAAACTGCCGCCCATAGTTCCAGTATCGAGAAATCCTACGAGCTCCCTGACGGACAGGTGATCACGATCGGCAACGAGCGCTTCCGGGCACCCGAAGCTTTGTTTCAGCCGAGCCTGCTCGGTATTGAGCAAGGTGGTATTCATGAGACCACGTTCAACTCGATTCAGAAATGCGATGTCGACGTTCGCAAGGATTTGTATGGTAACATTGTCATGGTATGCGCCCCCCCCCCTCTCTTCTTGTCCTTCTGAGTCAGTATAATGACAGAATGGAATACGTGCAACTGACTATTGTTCCTCACCATCTAGTCCGGCGGTACGACTCTTTATCCGGGCATTTCAGACAGACTGCATAAAGAGCTTGTCAATCTAGCTCCTTCGTCGATGAAAATCAAGACCATCGCGCCACCGGAGCGGAAATACTCGGTCTGGATCGGTGGCTCCATTCTCACTTCGCTCTCGACGTTCCAGCAAATGTGGATCTCGAAACAGGAGTATGACGAGAGTGGTCCTTCTATTGTGCACCGGAAGTGTTTCTAGGTAGTTAGGTGGTGGTTACGGTGGTATGGGAAGTTTGCGGGAACGGACTTGATATTAAGGTAAAGGATAGGTTAATGTGATATTTTCATTGGTATGTTGTAAAACCAGGGCTCTGATCATACAATAGTAGCAGAAAACAGCAGAATGTACGATATTCAGTAAAAACCATTGGAGTTGCCTGGCGAAGGCAGGGGCAGTCTTGGCAAAGTGATGTTCGTTTTGTAGAATTGCGGATGCCCTGGATCGTCACAGAAAACTCACGTGGTTTCTTAAACCCTGACCCAGGCAGAGCTTCTAAGATGATCACAGTTCCTCCGGGATAACATGGTATTAGGTCTGACTGCTTCAAAATAAATCCTAGTGACACTAATTCTGGCCTAGTGGGAGCTGGTACTGCATCTGCCCAACAATCGACAACGCAGATACTAGTGGAAAGCCGGAAGCCGCGGGGCCGGGCATCCGAGGGGTGCCGGATGTTTCAATCTCCCTGTCAACTTCTCTTTGTCCTCATTTTCCCCATTGTCTCCATTCTTCGTCACAGAATCGTTTAACGTCATACCAATGGCTGGCCCAGAAAGGAGAGAAACGATCCAAGCCCGACGGCACCGACTCTCCGTGATCCCTCGTGCAGTATGATCTATGGATCCGAAAATAGTTCCGAATAACGCAATGTAGCTAACCAGTTTGCAGTGTGAGGGGTGTAAGATACGCAAGGTATCGGCATTCGAATATATCCCGAGGCCCCGAAGCTAACAAGAAGGAGTTCAGGTCCGCTGTGATCGCTCTGTCCCTTGTTCGAACTGCCAAGCGTCTGGCATCACCTGCGAAGAGGCCAATCCTAGACCGAGGTCGAAAACTCGGCCTAGACCGGAGCGAGATCTGTAGGGTTTAGTTAAAGTCTGTTTGGAGCTAGATAATAATTGTGTGTCAGACAGGGACAGATTAGACGTCTAGAAGAGCGGCTCGCTTCGCTTGAGCAGCAGTCGACTACTCAGCGTGGTATATCGGAGCATCACAGAGATGCTGTGCCCGATGAAGTCTCAGCTGGGAGTGAGCATGCTGTACCGCAGTCGGCTCGGATTGCTCCTGTGTATGAAGGTATCTCTTCGTTCACCAGCCAGTCTATGCTAGCCAGCGATGTAGCTCAAAAGACAGCCAATTCGGAAGGCGCCGGAGAACACTCGGATCTCAAGTCCTCGTTAGATCATCTGAAGATATTGCTCCAGACACCGACAAGATCGTCCTTTGCAACAGAGTATCGGATGTCTCGAGTTCCTGCAGCACGGTCCTTGCCCACAATGGACCACTTGTTACCCGTTGATCTAATTATTGCCATTCTACAAGAAATAAAGAGTGAGTATATTAGATGGGAGACACAACGGCTGGTCACTGGATATACCTCTTGGACTAATGTTTGCAGCTAATCGCCCTATATTCCTTTGTTCATATGTGATAAACGATGCAGCCCTGGTCGAGCGCCTTTGCCAGAGAGTCTATTTCCCAACAGAGCCAATTTCAACGGCCGACCTAGCCAGCATGCACGGGATCCTTCTTACTCTCCTAAAAGAATTCACGATTCTGGGAAACTCTTTGTGTCAAAAGTTTAATCTCAAGGCGCATATTTCCACGTGCGAGCAAAACTTCAATACCTTGGTCGAGTCGTACGACGTTTTGGCTGTTCCTAGTTTTGAAAGTATATTCGCGCTGATTATGGGGGTAAGTTCTGTCTAATTAGCAGAAGAGACCTCCGACTGATGTACTGACCCCTTCTGTCACTGTGACTAGTTCATAAAAGCGCAGGACGAAGCAAAGCCATTGCTATGTTGCACTTTCATCTCAGCAGCTGCCACCCATTGCCAGATGCTCGGGTACCATCGCGAGATAACGTATCGCAGCGATAAAACGGGTAATTCGGAAAATATGCGACGACTATTCTGGACTACGTATCTCTTTGAGAGGCATATGTCTTTGTACTTTGGGCGAGCTTCCGGCATGCAGGACTTCGATATTGATGCACAGTACCCAGTCGTCACCACAGACCCTGCCGTTAGGCGTGGGACGAGTCGTTTGTTATGGGTATTCAACTAGCCAAGATTCAGGGAGAAATATATGATAAGCTTTATTCCGCAGAGGGTTCCAAGAGTTCCTACTCGGAACGAACGCGACGAATACATCGTATACACTTTGACATTCACCACTGGTACAATGCGTTCAAGGAGGTGAGCAAGCACATCATACTCGACCATGAAGATCCTTAGTGACAGTAACTTTTTAATCTTCCAGATCGACGCAAGTAACGTGAACAACCAACACATATTCAAAATAACCAGAGATAGCTGGGACATGCTATACTATTCGACATACACGTCACTGTTGCGCGCACCAATCACATCAGGTGAGGCAGACGCCGAGCTCAACACACATTGCTTTCGGGTCGCGCGCCTTAGCCTACAGAGCCACTTACGCTGTTTTGGAAAATTCCAAACCTCTGGCTTCCATTCTAATGCCGATTACGCCAATTGGTCTGTTCTCACAACGTCCCTTATTATGGGTGCTGTAACTGACATATGCAGGGTTCTCCTATTCTCTTCCTTCACGCCTTTCATCGTCATATTCCTGCACGCTATCGCAGCAACCAGCTCTGACGATATCCAACTTCTTACGGAGGTAGTTGACAGTCTGCAGCACATCCGATCTGTATCATCTAGCTCGGAGCGTCTGTATCAAATCTGCTCCACCTTCTTGCAGATAGCTAAGGGACTGGTTAGAACAAAACAGTCATGTGCTGGGACCTACAACGAGTTTGAGAACAGTCTACAGTTTACGGATGATGCGGGTCCGATGTCGATCTTCGAGCCTGATTGCTTGCAGGGCCTTTTGGGAACGGATACGTCAGAGCAAGCCCCCTACATAGCGAATCACGATATGTATGAAATCTTTGACTCTTGGGCAACTGGGTTGCCTACAGGGATGAGTTTATTTGGGGGTAATGTCGGGGGTATTTAGCGATCCAGCAGGGCTAGCATTATTGTTCTGAGTTTTGGGATTGATAGACAGACGGATTGTATTCTATATGCATTTATGGGGAATAAGCGAGTCATACTTTGGGTTTTGGAGCGCCAATTCAACTTCTCTGTGCTTAGAAACTGTGCCTTCATATATTCCACCCTCGTATATCTACTAAATAGTATTCATCACGGATGTATCAATATTCCTCCCTACACGCTTCGAGCAGGACGAGCGGAAGGCATGCTTATTATCCACGTTCTAATAACTTTGCCCCTGTCATGAATTTCCCCTAACCTCGGACCGAACCTACTTTGTCAAGGCAGAAACCCAATAACTAAGATGATATATGACTCCCGCATCTCTTATAGGCAAAAGTTGGCCTGGGGAACCGTGGAAGTGGGCGACTCTTAGCTCTATGTGTAGTACAAAACGTAATGAATTCGGGGAAACGATATATTATCACATTGACATGCTAAGCATTGCGTAAGTGATCAACAGATCCCGCACGGCTACTGGGCGACACGAGGTGATAGACCTTAATATGACTAGTCAACTGCAATAATCGCGTAGGCGGGGGTGATACATCTCTTTCTAGCCTGTTTGAAAGACTATCTTAAGGGGCTGTTGATCATTTTCTGATATTCTATGTTTTTTTAAGCAAGATACTGGCCAATTGAATTGATCAACTGAGGTCAACATGCACGGTGATCGACATCCACTATTGACAGCTGTGGATTTTACGTGTTAATGCAGCAAGTGTTCAATAGAGCGAAATATGGCCTTGGCAATAATATAAAATGCATGTCGCCTACTTCCTGTGTCACTCAGACGATGGTCAACACATTTCCCTGGCATTCAGAATCTCATCCTTACCTTCTTTCTACTTGACGCATCACTAACTGCTCTAATCTCCCTTGAACACCCAACATGAAAAACTATATCTTGACCATTTTGGCTCTGTACGCCTCTAGGACTGTCTGTGCAGAGGGTCCTGAGATGGGCCAGTTCGTTCAGATTAACCAGGCTGCCGAGACACCATGTCCGGAGAAACCAGGCGAATGCAAGCCAATTGGAAGCGTATGTTTCATAACTTCATACACTTATTCCCTGCTTAAAGAAACTAAAACTAACAAACTGATACTTGTTAGGTTCGCATGAGTGTTGATGTCGCCTGGAAGGGCGAAACGAGAGACTTCCCTACGTGCGATGGTGTATGCTATGGTATGGAAGGCATCTGGTGAGTAGCACATACCTCTCACAGCAAGGCGAGATCACGCTGTTGACACCCCGGTAGGAAGTACGGCATCTCTAGCATCCAACCTAGCGAAGGGCTCAAGTGTGATCTGTTTGGGTAAGTGGATCTATTGGTACAGAATAGTTTGTAAAAGATTTTACTGAGATTTGTGAAGGGATTTACAGTGTCAGGACCGGATTTTCGCGGGGATGTCGAGCGGTGGAAGCAGTAACCTGTACAATGAAGGTATTAATGATAAGATTGGGAGTGTTCGGTGTTTTTCTGCGCGATGAAGGATGTCTGGGTTAGCTCGGCTGGGCGAACCAGGCATAAGTGAATCCTCGGAATGCTTTCTTGACTGAGTTTCCAACTATTGCGACTTCTTTTTAACCGGGGCAACGCCATATAGCGGACTGGAGGGCAGCTCCTAAGTGATAAGATATTAAGTCACAGGGAGTAGGTTTGAAGAGGACTGGGCGTTATTAATGCTTGGTGATTTGTGCATTTAAGGGGAGGTAGGAAAGAAGTATTACCAGCTACACAATTTTCCAATTGATAGCAGTTATCAGCACAACGATACCCCGGACTTGGTTATTTCTAAAAATCCTTGCAATCAAATGTTAAAGCATTCTAAGCCTTCATTACCCCAATGAAGGATACCTAGGGCGTTGATTAAACAATGATCAAAACCTGAGGCGACAACTTCCTAATTGGATCTAGCGTCGCACATGGATCCCGACCACTGAAACGCCAATCAGAAGTGATGGAAAGGAACGTCACTTCATCCTCCACCAATACAGTTGGGTGAGCCGTTCACAAAAATGGAGCTGAAATACATCCTTCTCTTCACAGCCATCTATATCGGTAAGACCTCACCTGATATGCTATCCCGAACTAGATCTTGCTGACCAGTTTAGTATTCCGCGTCCTCAAGAGTCGTGCCTCTGACCCCGCTGCCACCATGCCCCACGGAAAAGTCGTCGAGGTTGACAAGTACGCGACTCCCCTCATGATATGTCCATGATACAACTACTAACCCCCAACCTCTCCAGCCCTGTCATCTTCAAGGCCCTCACCTCCTCCGGTCCCGTCGTTGTCGACTTCTTCGCAACCTGGTGCGGTCCCTGCAAGGCCGTCGCCCCCGTCGTCGGAAAGCTCAGCGAAACCTACACCAACGTGCGCTTCATCCAGGTCGATGTCGACAAGAACCGTCAGGTCGCGCAAGAGATGAACGTGCGGGCCATGCCGACGTTCATTGTGTTCAAGGACGGCCAGCCACACGGAGACCCAATTGTAGGCGGTGACATGAAGGCCCTGGAGGCTAGAATCAAGGAAGTCGCGGCATAGATGTTACACTGAGAGATGGGTTCAGGATAACGCTGATAGATGCGCACATCTTGTGCTGGAGGGAATCGCAATGATTACGAACAGTTGATACACCAATGTACCGTATAGCGTCCAGTTCCATGGAGAGTTGTAAATATACCCGTTCGGTCATGTTCGGCCTGCACCCTAAATCACAAATGTAATATAGCCCTGGATTTGGTTTATCTTCCTTCCCCGACACAGTACCCTATGCAATAGTTTGCTAAAGAATACAAGGTAATATAGACATGCAAATCGTGAATGAACTGATAATACACGTTACTCACTTACCGGGGACGTCGTGCGGAAATAACATATCATACCCAGTTTCATATTGCTCGACAAAGAGAGGCCGAGGGAATGTTCTGACTGTCAGCTTTTCCACTGCCCGTAAGATACGGATCGATAGAGTTTTAAAGGTAAGTGGAGCTGATCTCTCAGATGCAAATTCAATGCTACCCGGGTGACGTTGGCATGGATGTATATACTTCGGCATGAGTAGGTGACTCCTAGTAGGGGATATGAGTAGCGGTCGCCGGGACCCAAATGCAGGCTGCGCCCAAAATGAAGTGGGGCCACGGAGATCATCCCCGCTATTCTTGTTGGTGACGGTGTATCATGCAGATAGACGTAAGCAGCCTTAATATTCCTTCATTCCCGCACGTTTGTCCTAAGCTACACAATATCTCTCTTGAAAGCGAGTTGGTTCACATTTGCCTATGGCGAGTTTAGCGGATCTCCCCACGGAATTACTTCTTAAAATATGTCAGGCCATGGATGATTTTGACGATGTCTTACGCCTGAGAAGATGCTGTCGTCGCATGCACGAAATAGTCAATGTACAGGAATATCGCAGTACCATTTTAGCGGCAATCCTGGTAGGTATTTGCGCTTATGCACATCCCACTGGGTGTCAGGGTATTATTTGCTGGCTGACCAATAAAAGAACAATGTCGATGCCACTTGGTTTTCGACCGTGGATGCTATTGAGACTATAGCGAAGCAAATCCCGAATCATAACGAAAATATTCATGATGCAGTCTTGAGATGGCAAAGCCTGAAAGCCCTACAACAAGCAGCAAGCACTTTTGAACCATTCGAAGAGGATTATGAAGAATTAGTAGAAGCGCTGGGAAACGACGACGCCAATTACTACGGCCTGCCGCTGATATGGGCAGCATCAAGGGGAATTGAACCATTGGTCCTGATGATGCTCAACGAGGTTGAGGATGTGAATGCAATCGGTGACGTTGAGGGAACACCCCTGGGGCTTGCAGCAAGAAACGGTCACCAACGAGTTGTGCGAATGCTGCTGGATAAGGGAGTCCACCCGGAACAAAAAGACCAATCGATTCTCATGACCCCTTTGGCGTGGGCTGTTCTCTATAGCCATGCTGGCATAGTAGATCTTCTACTAGACAGGGGTGCCGATATAGAATCAAGAGATCGGAGTGGAATGACTCCCTTGTGCTTCGCGGCGCACGACGGGAATGTGATGATGGTAAAGAAGTTATTGGAGAGTGGCGCGCAATTCATGACCAGGATAGCAAACGGCAAAACCCCGCTTCATATTGCAGCGATGTGTCGCAACGAGGAAGTTCTCTCCATGCTGCTAGAGCATTGCTCGTTACACGACTGTCAGGAAATACTTACTAGTCGTGACGAGGACTATGGGGCCACACTTCTGCATGAGATTTGCGGAGCGAGCTGTAACGTCAGCTTCGTGAGGCATTTGCTGGCTGAGGGAGTTAAGCCATGTGTTTTCGATTCCAGAGGGACAAGTCCATTGACGAGGGCCTTGCGCAACGATGTTGTTCCCCCCGAGACTGAAGATGAAGATGAACTGTTCGAGAAAGTTAGGCTACTTTCTAAGGATGCTGCTGTGATTTTAACCCCGACAGACCAATACGAGAAGACCTCACTGCACCTGGCTGCCGAACGGCCAGACCCCAGGATAATGATCTGGCTTCTAGAACACCAAGGACGTTCTGGTTTAAATCAACGGGACGCTGCTGGCAACACCCCTCTCCTCGTGGCACTGCGTAAGAACAACACAAAAGTGATTGAGAGTCTTCTGAGCTTGCCAGATATCGATCTGAATTGCCGGCGATACAATGGGCAAACAGTACTTCATGTGGCTGCCCAGAGGTGCACGCCGATCGAAATATCGAGCCTGCTGAGACTGAATCCGGCTTTGTTGAATGCCGTTGACGAGGATGGCAGAACACCCCTGTTAGAGGCTTTTCGGGCCCGTCAACTGGGGAACTGTGAGTATTTATTGAAAAATAATGCCGACATTAGCATGGCAGACAACTTTGGCCAGGATCCTCTTCGTTGGGCCACACAAGAGACGAAGGAGATTAAATTCTATGAGCTTCTGATGGACAAGGACCTTGTTTCCCTTGACCAGCAAGGAAACACTCTTCTCAATAACGCAGTCGCGGACATTCAATTCAGAGAGTTACCAATCTCTTGGAGTCTCCTGACATCAACTTGCGCAACCAAAACGAACTTGGAGATACCGCATTGCATACTGCTGTACAGAATGGAACTCATGCCAAAACAGAGGAAATGATCCAAGTGCTCTTACAAACTGATAGAATATTCACTCTCGCCCGCATCCCCAACAATAGCGGCAAAACTGCTCTGGATTTAGCACTTGAGAGAGGAAGAGAAGGTAGCATTGAAATACTTCTGCAACCCAGATGGAACTCCGCAGTCGGACTTGAATGGGATACAGAGTCCATTTGGATCCAGAAATGGTCCGGTCAGTCCTGGTACTCAGACCTACTCCGCATCATTGGAACAGCAAGACTCGACCTTGCAGCTCAAAGGCAGCTACTGGTTGATCAATGCGGCGGCCCGCCTTTGACTATCTCCAAGAAAGATCCGCAAATATTCGAGTGGAGAGAGTTCGTGGATGTGCCGCCATACCTTTCTGTCCCAATCCCACCAGGTCATCCTTCTCCTGTTCGGCGGCTCGTCTTCACTATGGTATCCTATGACCAAGATATTATCTCCATGTTCGAGACACGCCAATATATGGCTAACACGTCCGCAGGATCAAGGGATCGTAATCCCGTAATTGAAAGACTTGAGGGGAGCTATTGTGGCTCCAGGACTTGGTTTGAAGTTGGTATTAGTAAATCGTCGCAGGCCGATCAGATAATCTCAAGCCGGGAGGTCCAACGCAATATCTACAACAGTTCTCAGCCTAGGCAACACACTGTGATCTGGGATGTTCGAGATCCAACTCCAGGACTCAAAGAATGGCTTAGCAGTGTTGAGGGAGGGGACATTCTCCATATTAATCCTATGGCTTCTCACTGCGGATGGTGGAACTGTGTCCAGGAGGTCGCTGTTACGGTTTTCTATGAGAGGTCGTAAGGTCTTTACTACTTAGCATATCTCGCTGAATTTCTATCATCGCTTCTCTTTCGAATATCCATCCCAAGTTATTTAGATGTAGGATCTTCCACTGTACTATTCAGATCTTCCAATGGTCGATACCCGGAGAGACTCGTGTATCGGCCCAGGGCCATCATGGGAAAGTATTGAGAGTAGAGGGTATAGCAAAGGAAGAAATGGTTCGGAAAGCCGGTGCCTGTGTAGTGGTCCTCCTTCCATGACCCAGAGAGCTCTCCCTCTTTGATCTGTGTCCGTGAAAGGTATTGAATGCCTCGAGTGATTGATGGATCTGTAGGGGGTAGATACGCAAGTAGGCCCATCAATGCCCAGGCCGTCTGCGATGCTGTGGATGGCCCATTGGCACCCAGGCTAGGGTCATAGTATGTCTCGAGGCGCTCGCCCCATCCGCCATCGGAGTTCTGCACTCTTTTGAGCCAGTCCAAGGCAGCGTGAGTATCAGCTTTGTGCCTCTTCTCCATGATGGGATACGTATCATCCCAACCGTCTAGGTGGTAAACCAAACCGCAAAGTACCGTACTAGTTCCATAAATGTAGTTCGAGCCCCAGCGACCGAACCATGGCCCGTTAGACTCTTGTTCCCTGGACAAGAAGTCGATTGCCCGGTCAGTGGCAAAGGCCATTCTATCGATGAATTCCTTGGGAATCGGGTTTTTCGAAGTTTTGGATAGTGCGGTGCCCCGTTTTACCAACAGACCAAAGCATTCTAGGACACGTCCGGTCACGTCCGCTGTGGATGGGTCGCAGAAACTCTCCATGTCACTGAAGGGGATTTTGTTCAGGAATAAATAGTTGTTCTCACGATCAAATGCTGCCCATCCACCATCCTTGTTCTGTAGTCCGAGGACCCATTGGACTGCGCATAGTATGGGGTCTAGGTCCAACAGGTTTGGATCCTGCTTCACCAGTGCTAAGATCGCTGCGGCAGTGTCATCGACATCCGGATACCACGAGTTGAAGTACTCGAAACTGAACCCCCCTGGTGGGACATTTCGATTGTACACTCTCCAGTCGCCTTCGGGTCCTAGCTGTTGACGGGCCTTAAGGTACTGTGATGACCTTGTAACGATTGGGCTTGTAGCCGGTAGACTGGAGTCAATAAGGCCAATGGTCATGAGAATGGTATCCCAAATCGGCGAGATACAGCCTTGTATTCTCAAGCCAGTGCTGTCTCTCCAGGCGTAGGTGTTTTGGAGAGCATCAATGCCTCGGCGTACAGGACTAGACTCGAGACCATATCCCTCAAGCGTAAGTGCAAACAATGCAGCATGCAAGGGAGGAAAGATGCCTCCGATATCGCCTTCAGGCTCCTGACGCTCCAGTATCCAAGCCACACATTGTCGAAGTGCAACCTTTCTTAGAGGGAACCACCGCAAACCGCCTAAAGCTTTCAGAACATTGTCGACCAGTGTAAATCCAAGCGCTGTAAGATCATGCCACAATGACCATATAGAAGGGGCATATGGGACCATCTTTTCTGCCGGGTTGATCCAGAGTTCATCCAAGTAATCATTCGACGAGGACTTTCCATTTGGCAAAGCGTATATTGGACAATGATGTCGAATAACGAGCATTGGTATGACGGTCGCTCTCGCCCAGCTTGCCAGCCGATAGATGCCGAAGGGGGCGGCATCAGGAAGCAAGATCAGCTCGGCTGGCAACTCGGGCACTGCAGACCAAGGGAAAAGCCCAAAGCAAGCGAAGAACATCCGAGTAAAGACGCGTACCTTCGCTATGCCACCCTTCGAGAGGATGAACTCCCGTGCGGGACGCATCGATTCGTGATTTCGGTCAAGACCCAACAGACACAACGCGAAATATGCTTCTGAGGTGGTGGAAACATCTCCTGGGTAATCATATGCAAGGCTCCACGAACCGTCCTTGTTTTGCTCGGAAAGGAAATACTTGACGAGATCATCCCGGTCTGGCTCGATGCTGAAGCCTAGGGCTTGTGCGAGGAAAACATATTCTGCAGTAATAGTGGCATTGGACTTCATTTCACCATACCAGTGGCCATCCTCCCGCATCTGGCGCAAGGCATAAGCACCAGCACGCTTGGTGGCATCGCAAGCCTCCATGTGTAAGTGTGTAGATGTGGCCCCAGGCAAGGATTCCATGGTATTCAGGAAACGTAGAAGGTGGATTAGGACAATTATGTGGGCGACTGATAAAGTAGGTTGACATCAGGACGGTATTTAGCTTCTGGTATTTCCTTAGCCCAGTCTCCCGGGATGGCAGTCGTGGCTAATAGAGAACCCACCAGGAATAACATTCTGATCTGTCCACCTTCCATGCCTCAATGATAGTAACACTATCATAAAATGAGATCGGACCCTTGCAGTCGATGAAAGTCTAACGTGCGTAATAAAAGCTTTGTAATGCAGGGGAAAGATACCCTTTTCCATACTCGGACATGGCACATGTAGGTAAGGAATGAAAAATGGTTTAATGAGATCAACATAAGGTACACTGAAGACAGTAAAACCCTTGCAGGAAACGGTCATTATTGGTTCTGCACTCATCAAGACCATCCGCTCGCGCTCATTGCATTTTAACCTTTGAGGAAGGTCTCTGAAAGGCGACGTTATTTGCGTTAAATTTAGGTAAACCTTCGATAATCATGAACTGGAATACCTCCAGACACCGAGACAGGCAAGCACCTGTCGTGCAGAATGAATCAGCACCCTGCAAAGTATCCTTTCCTCAAGTGATAGGTAATCAGTGATCCTATAAAACTAGAATATGTCTATGGTCTATGTGTGGGTCGTAATATGTGATTCGTCATACATAGGAAACATTTTCCGATACCGGAATCCGACCTCTCCAAGACACTGATTCTGAGCAATCTTTGTGATATCACGCCGCTTGAGTTAGTTCAGGTCCTATGACACTGCATACCAATAGCGCTCGATGAAATTCTACTTAGGGCTAAAGAATTCCTCTAGCCCACATATCGGCAAATTTTTAGACATGCAGGTATTCCTGTTCATGTAGGTCTGCGCTTCTGGAAACAATCACTCAATTATCGAGATCAGTACCGGTAGCTGCTAGTTGGTACATACAATAAGCCAAGGCCGAGTTTTTCTTTTTTTTTTTGTTTCATGTACCTCAGCCCTTTGAGAAGATCAAACCTTGGCCTTCTCAGGAAGTGTCGACCATTAGTCTCACATACCAGAAAACCCAACTTCCAGGGGCAGGTGGATCCAGGATGCTTGAGCAAACTGATTCTGCTGAAGACAACAGTACGTAAACCCCTTTTAACATCGCTGGAAAAACCTTAAAGAAGCTGCTTACCGAAATATCTAGTAGGGAAGAGCCAACGGTGATCATGGATATATTCCTAATATCGACCAAGAAAGAAACAAACATTCCCAAATAAGGCGACAAGTCGTAGTTATAGGAAAGGATCACCTGTGCATTCAGTGGGTCTAATTAGCCTCATGAGATGTAGATCCCATTTACTAGTGTTATCGGTATTGATATTTCAATTGTTTGTTTGGTAACGTCCTTTTTTGGCGTAGCTTGTTGGCCAAGGGGAATTACTTGCTCGAAGAAACGGTGTCCCAGACCTAACCCTACAGAATATACGGAGTATCGCGTAGCATAATATATCGCGGAGGGTGCTACACCATAATACTCAGCTGATAGGGCCACAGATCCTCTCATTAAACACAGAGTGAAGCTAAAGACCACCATAGCTCATACTGTACGCCCCATCCTTTCTTGTATGTATCGCTTCTCTGCGGCGATTGCTCATCCTTGCAACTTTACGGCGAGACTACGACATGTTTTCGAGTCCAGGCGATCCGAAGGTGTCAACACCACCTACTACAGCAACGTCGCGAGGTGAAAGCGACTGTCCACTACACGAAAGCAAAGAGGTCAACCATTCAAATCCAGACTCATCTTCCGGTCCAGTGGAGCAATACATAGATGGGCTGCTGCTGCATGTGATTGTGCTTTGCCTAGCCGTGGCCATGTTCCTCGTTTCTCTAGACACGACCATTATCTCAACCGCCATTCCTCTGATAACTGACGAGTTCAACTCTACTGCTGATGTTGGGTGGTATGGGGCTGCATTCCTTCTCGGCAGTGCCGTAACTCAGGCGCCATGGGGGAAATTATATGGATTTTTCAATATCAAATGGACCTACCTCCTCAGCCTGCTCACATTCGAGCTCGGTTCTCTGTTATGTGCCCTCTCCCACAACTCGCCCACACTTATTATCGGCAGGGCCATCGCAGGGGTAGGGGGGTCAGGTATTGGGTCAGGGATCTATACTATCATCGGCGTTTGCGTCCCACCAAGGAGGCGTCCCATGCTGATTGGCATAACTGGTTTGGCATTCTTACTCGCCAGCTTTGCCGGTCCCGTTATCGGTGGGGAGTTTGCTAGTCACGTATCCTGGAGATGGTGCTTTTGGATTAACCTACCTATTGGGGGGGCCACGTTTGCCGCCATCCTCTGCTTTTTCCGCACACCATCTGTCCCCACGAACAAGAAAGCGTCATGGAAAGAAATCATCTTCCAACTCGATCCACTTGGCATGGTTACATTGACAGGTGCATTACTCTGCTTCCTTCTCGGTCTTGAATGGGGCATCAGCAAGTCTTGGCATAATCCAGATGTTATCGGGTGTCTGGTTGGGTTTCCTCTTCTCATGGGTCTGTTCATCGCGAATGAGTTCTTCTGGAATGACCGAGCTATGATTCCCCGTCGATTACTTCTAAAACGGGAAGTGACTATTAATCTCGCCTTCATTTTCCTTGTGGCGGGAGCATTTTTCACGCTTCTGTACTATATGCCCATCTATTTCCAGGCAGTCAAGGGCAACTCCGCCGAGGAGTCGGGGATACGCACCCTACCGCTTATCGTATCGGCCGGCGTTATGGCAGTAATTGGAGCAATAGGACTCGGGATTACAGGTTATCCTACACCGTTTCTATTAGCAGGTGGGATACTTATCAGCGTGGGAGCCGGCTTGCTATACACGCTTGATCTCCCGTCACCGCCGAGACTCTGGATCCCGTACCAGATTCTGGCTGGGCTTGGGATTGGAACTTCACTTCAGGTTCCAATCATCATGAATCAGGCCACCGTGGATGCCCCGGACATGTCAACTATGACGTCCATGACCTTGTTCTTTAAGTGTCTGGGGGCCTCGATCTTTATGCAAACCGGACAGACCATATTTCTCGACAAGGTCAAGCGGAACTTGGAAATGACATCCGTTGCCGATGTGAATCCGAACCAGTTACTTGCAGGGGGTCTTTTGACAGGTCAACATCTAGATTCAGAGTCAAGTCTTGCAATTGGAGCTGCATATGTTGAGGGGTTGAAATATGTGTTTGTGCTGGTAGTAGCACTCTCGGGCCTGGCCACTCTACTAGCACTCCTTGTGGGTCGATACAAGATGGATACTGCACGGCTGCGGCTGTGACGGGTCAATGTATTATAGTTATAGACTAATTGAGTTTGTACATTGTTGAGGCTATACTCTGCTTGCGATCGATGCTCCCCGTAGTCATTCAGAATTCGATTATATGATATACCTCCGTCACTAGGTAAGCTATTGATCGCGAAGGAGATAATTACAAACAGCCCGGGCAGCAATCCATAACCGATGGAACGTGGTTGTAACGCTCCAACAGGTGGGGTTCATGTGTCTGTCATAACTAACTACTTTATATGCATATTAAACCAGATCAACATTGTGTATTATTTCTCACTTCAACGCTCAAGTATGCTCTGTATCTCAAAATCAAGAATAAGTAAACCAGAAAGATGATAGATGCCTCACTAATGTGCGGTAAAAGCCAGCCATACAGTAACACACACCCGACATCGCCTTCCATACCGGAAATATAGAGATGCTTCTTCAAACCCTAATGACATGATAGAGTCGTTTGGTATCATCATCTACAGTTTCTTATTCTTTCGATTTCAAGACTTCATCGAGCAAATTCCTCGGCTGCCGAAAAGCCAAAGTCAGTCGTAGTCATGACTCATACACAATGCTTGCTCTATGTGCCTCCATACTCTCCAGAATTCAACATAATTGAAGAATTTATTGCTAAGCTTAACCGCCTCATACGATACGAACCGAGTTTCCCTGAAGAACATACCGACCAATGATTTCAAGCTCCGAAGCTGTCGGTGGAGTGTGGAGTGTGGACCTCCCACGGGAAGGGTACGTAACAAGAACTATTTGTGGCGAGTTTGTCACTAGCTTTCCACCTCCGACACTGCATTTCCCCGTATTTCACTTCCGAAGTTGTGACACCCCCCTGCATTATATCTGTCCAGGGCTCTTCAAAGCCTCAAGTCAAGTGTGACAGTTACCTCTTCGCTACGCATCAACCAGACAACCGCCGAAAATGACTGGCCAAGTCAACATCGATCCGAAAGACATCCAAGCACATCTGTCTAGTTACGAGGGTGACAAGTACGTCGAAGGCTGGGCTGCACTATGGGATAAAGGTGACAGCCTACCCTGGGACCGGGGTTTTCCCAATCCCGCGTTGGAAGATGCCCTAGTCCAGCAACGCGCAATCATCGGCGGGCCCATTGCCCAAGATGCACAGGGCCGGCTATACAGACGGAAGGCCCTCGTCCCAGGCTGTGGCAGGGGGGTCGATGTCCTGCTGTTGGCTAGCTTTGGATACGATGCCTACGGGCTTGAATATAGCGCCAGTGCTGTTGAGGTGTGCAAGAAGGAGGCGGAGGAGCATCACAGTCGGTATCCGGTGCAAGACCAGGCACTTGGTCGAGGCAAGGTCACCTTTGTTCAGGGTGATTTCTTCGATGATGCCTGGTTGCAGAAAATTGAGGGCTCTGCGAATGGGTTCGACCTTGTCTATGACTACACGTTCTTCTGCGCTTTAAGACCAGCGCTTCGCCCCAAGTGGCTCTCCGACACACCCAATTGCTTGCCCCCTCGCCAGCAGGAAAATTGATTTGCCTGGAGTTTCCTCTTCATAAAGACCCTCAGGCTGCGGGTCCGCCATACGGCTTGTCTTCAGAAGCGTACATGGCGCACCTAACTCATCCAGGGGAAGAGATCCCCTACGATGACAAGGGTCGTGTCCAGTACGACCCTCAGCAGGAACCGAGCGAAGCCGGATTAGAGAGAGTGGCGTACTGGCAGCCGGAGCGAACGCACAAAGTTGGCCAGGGTGAGAATGGTGTAATTCATGACAGGGTTTCTGTTTGGAGTCGACGTAATTAGACCAACATGATACGGTTGTAGTATATGTCTGCATCTACTCTACTTTCTCCAAAGAATGATATGTACATTACCAGAGCAATACGTATTCTGAGCAATGTTTCTCTTCTTAAAGGCCAACGTAAAGCCGCGCAAAAGCCTCTCGGGGTCTGTGATAAGTACATTCTCTTGCTAGGTCTTGATTAGGGGCTTCTAATATAGCTCTATGTTTCTATATATACAACCTGATTGCGTACAGCACTCCCTGTTTCCGTCTCCAAACTAAACAAACAACGAAATAATTGAAAAGCATATATAAACCCACATTCTCATAATAAAAAGCCAAACTTCTTGTGGCGTTAAAAAAGGACTGAAACAAAAATATCTTGCCTCGAATGCCCATATTCCCCTCCCTATACGCCCAAACTTATTCTTTGATAACGGCATGTTTGCTGAACTGACGAATGCGCGCCCCGTAAAAGTAGAACAAGTATGGAATAGAGGCCATTGCAGCACTGATGGCACCGAGGACGGTGAGAGTATAATGCACCCCGTATCGTTCATAGATAGTACTGCCAGCAATCATAACCCCGCCAGACACCAGATATCGGATGAATGCCATGAAGCCCAATGCGGAGGCGGAATAAACGCCATAGGAATCGATGACATATAGGTAGGCACTGGTGAAGATGGTGGTCATCCCGAAGCCAACAAAAGCAGACGCGATCAGCGGAGACCAGATGCTGATTGAGGACTAGTCATTGGTTAGTGCAAGTCCACCGCCAAGGGGAAGTAGGAGGAACGGAGGAGGAACGGAGGAGGGAGAGGATAGTTCTTACATAGCTGGTCCATCCCATCCAGAACAGACCCACCGGGACCGCCAGGGCCCCCCCAAGCATAGCATACCATAGACGCGTCTCAGGGAGGATTCGGTTCGTGCGTTCGTATTCCTTGCGGGTCCAGGTATAGACAGTGGGAACAATCAGGCACGTCAGAACCATGCCGACAAACATGCCAGCCCAAGTAATACTAGTGAGGCCCTGCGACAGACCATATGTCTCTCCGAAGATGAACTTGTATCCTTCCAGGAACGTGAATAGGATAATATATACAATAGTCAGGTAGAGGGCCATGAGAAGCACGATCGGTTCTGTGTAGCTCCACAAGAATGGCCGCGATACAGCAGTGATTAATCGTTTCTGGAGCGGCAGCTTGTTCACTTCCATAGGCGCTCGATACCGCACATCCCCCGTTTGTTTGCGTAATGCCTTAGCTTTCCGATAGAGCAGAAGGTCTCCATATGTCTCAGGTTGGAATAGGATCACCACCACGAGTACTATTCCTCCCATGATCAGCATGATCCATTCCAACCATCGCCATCCGAGGGCTGGGGGAATGAAGCTGCCAATCAACTGTCCAATCACTGGTCCACCAAAACTGGGGATAGCGTAAATGAAGAAGGAATACCCTTTCTGAACTGGGTTCCAGAGGTCTGCCACGGTCCCTCCGGAGCAGGTCAGTGGGGTGGAACCAAAACGCCCGCGAGAAACCGAAAAACAAGGTGGCTTGCCGGGTTAGGGGCCAGTGCAGCTGCCATGATAAACAGGAGATATAGGAACATGGTCATAATATAGACGACATTTCGTCCGAAGGTTTCTGAAAAGGGCCCGGAGAGCAAGGATCCAAACGCTAGACCGATCATGAACAGACCTGGGACATGCACTTAGGAGCCAGTTCTGAAGTTTTCAGACTATGCAACCTACCTGTGGCCAGAGATCCCACCACTTCCCTCACCTGAAACTCGGCTGTATATTGAGGTAAACCACAGGCGTCAATGGCGGACGCTGCAGTAACACTGACCCCAATTAAGGAGACAAAGGCAGTCAGCACCACCTTCTTGGCAGTGCTATAGTTGGCAGGGTTCAAATGCGCATCGAGCGGTGTCCAATGTACCAAGATGATCGCATCGTCGCTGGAGTCTTTGTCGATAAAGGTTGGGTGCACGGCAACGTGGCAGCTGAATAGGCGGACAAGATGTTAGCGACTAGGCCTAACTATATGAACGGCCAGTATGACTGATTTGGCTCACCTCGAGCCGTGTTCACCATTGCAGCTGCATTGCCTTTCACCTTGTGCAAGCTCGAGGACAACTGCTCTCTCGATTCGCTTCCTCTGGAAATAAGCCTCCATTCTTTTTTGGCTTTAAATGTGGATGGTAATCTGATGGCTGAAGGGAAGAAGTATACTAATCTCTGAATAGTAGTTGAATTAAACCATTTATATCTTGTACAGAATACGAATCACAGTCTGCGCAGCATGGGCTTGGGGAATGACGATTCAAAAAAATGGAAAGAGGGAAGCATATTACACATCATCGTGGAACTAGACCGATTATTTATTGGTAATTCATCACCAGATGAGGAATTCTGGAGGGTCTTCCTGTTGAACTAATATCACGACTCACAACACTCCTTTACAGTGGCAGTGGGGACAGCCAACCAGCAATCGGTCCGAGATCTTCGGAGCACGGTAACATCGTGCGTGTTATTTTCAAGAGGTTGGCCGTCACTCAGCGCAATGGTGGCCCAGACCATCCCCAATTGAAGACATAGTTGGCAGTGCAAGTCCCAGATACCTTATAATCATGTGTCACCACCCTTCCAGTTGACAACGAATGAGCGCCATCTATTCTTTGGCAGTCGATCGGTGCCAGCTGATGTATACCTCCCAGATTCTAGATCTCCATGGTGTTGTAGAGTCAATTCTTTTATGCTCAGCACGACTTGATACTGTCGCTGCATATAAAACCACACAAGAATATGGCGGTGGATGAACGCATCTACACCTTTTGACTTGTGTATCCTGCTACTCCTGCCTTTTTATCAAGTCTCAGTAAACATGTTGCATTATCTGCTCCTTTTCATTACCCATCGAAGCAACGGCTTACTAGCAGTCAACCATGACAGCCACTGCCACCGGAACTGAGAAGAAGATGGACGCCGAGTGAGCCGATCTGGTCAGGGATATCGCCGACGTCGACGACAAGCAGTACATGGCCACTACCGTGGATCCGGGTACGGATAATAAGAAGACTGCCACAATGCTGCTCGAAGACCAGTTTGCACGCGACAAGGTAAAATATGCCCTTCTCCACCCCTTCCTTGCGCCTATAATTTCACCTCATATACTAGTACTGTAGTAGTACTAGGTAGGTACTACCTAGTACCAGCATTTCGTATACGGAAGGGCAACGGAGATGATTTCAGCCAATCGGGGCATGGTCCGCTCGTCTCCACCCAGTATCGGAATCGATAACCATTGGCTATGTACTCCTAGTAGTACTAGTAGTAACTAGCTGAGGCGTTTCCTTCGCCCTTCGACCTCGGTATGGTGTCGAATCACTGCTAACAGTATAGATCGTGCGAGGCTAGAAGGTCCTCAAACGTGGTTGAAATGGTATCAGGTTCGGAGCCATAGTACGAGTATAGATCGCGCCGTGATGTGGAGGGTGGTCGTGAAGCACGTGACCGGGCGGCCACCATCTGGATGGTAGGTAGAAAGCGCATTGACCACTTTCCACGACCCCCATTAATGCGAGTGAAATGAACTCCTACCAATCCACCTTGTTATTCATGGCGGCTGTAACGGAGCACCTGCTTTCCCCGTTCCCGACCGAAGATGGATTCCACCGGGGTAGCTCAGAAGCGCAGATATACCTTGTCTAACCTCGCTCGTCGGAAGCGGCTGAAGATACCTATCGCCTGTGGTCCATGCCGGCGCCGGAAGGTCAAGTGTGATGGGACTCAACCAGGTGAATTCTTATGAAGAACGCAATCGACTTAGAAAGAGAGCTATGAAAGTAACTTAATCATTCGCACAGCTTGTGGGAGTTGTCAACGGCGCGCAAAGCAGGCGGAATGCGTCTACAGCCAGAAACTGGATAACCCGACCACGACGCTAGAGGGGGAGGAAGAGGCAGAGGAGGAGAGACTGTTATCGCCGCTACTGCGAAATCCGCCTGAAGACGGTGTTGAGGTTTCAGACCGATCGAGAGTCGTTCTCAACAACTTTCATCCCACGATATTCTCTACTGAGCCCAGGTCACCCAAAGTCCCGGGCTCAGTCCATACATGTGGCTCGGGAGGCCCAATTCTTCCTGCCCCTACATCGGCCCCTGTCCCTGGTAGTAGTAGCTCAACCGGTAAGGGTAGAGTAGCGACGCACTCATTGAGGTTCTTGGATAGCCCTCCTTTCACCGAACCCGATGGGACGGATTCGATGAATGGGGTGACGGGAGACCCAACGCGCACGCCGGAAGTCTTTGGGAGTAGTAGTGCAGGTTCCTTTATGCGGCAAATCCAGTCGGCGATCAATGCTCGTTTAGGAGTTTCGTATGCAAATCTGGCCGCGAAAAAGGGAGCAGCATCACAACAGTCCCGCGGCCATCAGGGCTCTCCACCTTCTTCGTCGAGCTACGAAGAGCCAGCCTTATTCCTGCTCCCTCCACGGGGTCTTGCCGACGCCTTATGCGAGCCTATTGGGATAACAACTGGTCCCTCTACCCCGTTATCGACCGGGGTAAGATTGAGGCAACGTATGAGTCGCTTTGGACGTCTCACGCTGTGCGCGGTTATCCATTGATTCCAGTCAGTGTTATCAATCTTTGCCTTGCGATTGGCTGCTACTACTGCGAGCTCATCCCGCCCCAGGAGCGGAAAGCTACCAGTGAGAACTTTTTCACTCGAGCGGAATTATTATATAAGAAGACGGGGGAGGCCCTCTCGTACGAGCGAGTCCAGTGTCTGTTACTGTTCGGGATATACCTCCAGAGCACGCCGTCCGTCTCTAAATGCTGGATGACTGTAGGCCAGGCGATTCGTATGGCGCAAAGTCTTGGGATCCATTTGACCCACCATGATCATTCTCGAGAAACAGCGAGTCAAAGGGAGTATCAACGTCGCACCTGGCACGGGTGTGTCTGGCTAGATCGGTAAGAGAGTTTCGTTGCCCAACTGTGGTCTCCATTCTCCGTTCATCTGCTAAGCTACAGACTAAGAGTTCTCTCATCCACCCTCGGCCGCCCTGGTATGATCCCCAAGTGGCTATTCAACTCGATCTCACTACCATCTATGATCGATGATGAGTTCTTCGAAACCCAAACGATAGGCTCGCCTTGCCGACCCGATGGACGACCGTGTAAGGTGGCATTTTTCGTGAAGGCCCTGCAGCTATATCAGATTCTGGACGAGATTCTTGTTGACCTCTACCTCAACAACGCCAAGGATGAAGGTATTGAGAGCAAACTTATGCGTATTCTCCAAATCGACGGGAAACTACAAGCCTGGAATAAGTCCCTTCCCGAGTACCTCCACCCACGACATGCTGCCGAAGATGATGAGATACTAAAACGACAAGCCATAGTCTTGAGAGTTCGGTAGGATTTTCTTTTCTTTTCTTCTCTTCTCTCTGTCTTTTTTTTCCCTGGCAACTCTTTCCACACTTCCATTCTCAACATTCAAGCAGGTTTTTGCACACACGTATTCTCCTCTTCCGTCCAACCGTGATCCCTTACTGCATGCGCAGCTCTACCACGGCTGCGACTGCGGACTGTGACACGGAAAATAAACCATACGACTCCGCCGACGATTCCAGTCTGTCTGAAGTAATGCTCGCGCAATGTGCTCGCATCAGCTTCCGCATTGCCCATGAGCTGATCGAAACCTTTGACCGCCATCTTGACCGGCAAACCTTACTTGGCCCGCTGCCCAACTGGTGGTATTCCGTCCTCTGTAAGTTGCACATGCCCGCGACCTTTCTCCTCTCAGCTGTTCCAGCTGACAAACTTCCCCCCTTCCCGGGCTTCCCGCGAATAACCAGATGTATACAACGCTACCATGATGATTCTTGTCGAGCGATTCCTAGAGGCCAAGGAGGGTACATCCAGCACAGTTGAATCCAAGGCCGAACGGACGTGGCATGCGGCACTCCGGGTCCTAAAGTCCTACGGGATCTTGGCCGATTCGGCAACCCGATGCGTCGCAGTTCTGGAGATCTTTTTGGAGAAGCTTTGCCTCAGCAGCAGCAACAATGATAATGGCAACAATGATAGCATGGGCACTGGGACTATCACCACCACCCAGCATTGTCTCGACGACTATGACTGGGATGCAATGTGGGCCATGTCGAACTCCTTCGGTCAGGAGTTCGGCCTTTCGGATTCAAATTTATTCCCGTTTACGTTTGACAATTATATCTCGTCTGATCTGCTTTCGGCGCTGTCGGGACAGGAGTTTAGTCCGCGTGATAGGTAAGTGACCGTCATGTCTGGAGCTATTGTTTTATATGCTTTCTTTTCATGAGGCAAGTGTCTTGGGAGGATGGGCAGTATATGTCCATCACGGTTATATGAATTTGAGGGTAAGAAAATTATTACAGTGTTTTGCCATAATACTGCCGACAAAATATAGCCATTTTTTATTGGGCACCGTTGAGTTTATCCAGTGGTTTGTCAAGCAGCGTTTTCTGGAAGTCTCGCCTATTGCCTTTGACCCGTCTGATCTTAAGTTTGGATGTTAATCATAGAATATCACCCTGTATATTTAACATCGTTTTGGAATGTATTTCTGTCCCTTTGGCGTGAACAAGACAAACGAAGAAATAACATAAAATAAAATGAATGAATGAAGAACACATACAAGATTAGTAACAGCAAAGATACTTCAAGTTTCTCTTCCTAAAGGCAAGAAACATCCTCTATACTTCTAACTTATCCAAACCTTCCCAATTCCTGGGGACTATTTTTTTTCATTTCCAAAAAAGGTTTTTATTCATCCTTCCCATGTAGCCCCCTTTGAATCATATTCGTCAGTATTTTTAAATCCTCTGAGCTGCCACTGGAGCAGTGGACTCTACCATCAAACTCTCCGTGAAACCGGAGACGGAGCAAATTATATTTGTCGCCAGTAACCCTAAAAATGCAAGTGAAAAGATCCTATAGAAAGCACTGCACATAGCTGCTCCTAGGGAGATTATGGACTAGAAACTATAATCTTTTACTCCGCAATACTAGGGCTATATCATGGGCGTGATAAGAAACCCCGCCATTTCCCGATCGGTGACGGGCATCACCTGATCTCGGAGAAGGATTCCCTAGGTTCCGGCTCTCTCGACATGAATCACCTCGTCTTAGCCATACAGAAATCAGAAATAACATGGCCAAGAGAAAGCACAGACATATCACCTTCTCAGGGTCAGTAGTACACTGTGCGTGGTACGGCATCTACTGACAGTGATCAGGTGTTGGACCTGCAAGGCCCGAAAGGTTAAATGTGATGAGAACCCACTAGGCTGCGCGACCTGCGCACGACTCGGACTAACCTGTGGTGGATATGATATTAAACTGCAGTGGATCTCCTCAAACGCAGGTCGTCGACCCTGCAGAGATCTTTCTGCACGGATCGGGAGGAGGCGAATTGGTGCAGGTGAGTTATCAACTCTTGGATCCGTGCCTCGCCTGGTATATGCGTCACATGCTTAAATGTTAAGTAAGGCTGGACTGGTATCCTTCAATTCAAAACAGACGAAATCGATAAATTTCTTTACAGAGTCAATGAGGAGGCTGAGCGAGGGGTATCGACAACACATGGCCCTTTTTCAGTGTTCCCTGTAGATCGCAACTGTAGCAACCATGGGACATCTCTCGTTTTCTCATCCGAGCAGGCACTACCGCGGGATTCAAATGGTGCAGCTCCCTTAGTGAGCTACTCGAAAGAGACGGAAGGTTGTGAATTAAACTCGGATGGGTCGAACTATCAGACTTCATCGTCACCCTCGAATCTCAGCGTTCTCCCGCGTGATACTTTATCATCACCCTCAAGGAACACACCTACTGAAGATGATGAGCATAGCGAGTCATGTTGCCACTTGCACTCTATTGACGATAATGAAGCATTGAAGGCTGTTTCGTCAGAGGATGAGAACAACGTGGATACGGACAGTGTATTAAATGCCACAGTTCCGTTATTACAGCAACCGCAACTGTTTCTGTCGAGCAACTACAAGGCTAACGAGCTCTTTCACCATTATGTTACAAATGTTGCTGAGATATTGCTGCCAGTTTCGCACCCAGGAAATCCCTACCGATCATTGTATGCCCCAGCAGCACTCGAGGGCTCTTTGTACTTCCAGTCTGGCCCTTTCAATGCAGCGCCGAATATTGGGCTCTGCATATTCCATTCACTCATTTCCGCATCCGCCTTCCACCTACATCGGTGCCATGATTTTAACTCCGAGTATCATCGTCTTGGTATCATGCACCGACAAGTTGCACTACAGTCGCTCCAAATGGTCTTGATGAAAGAGATACCTGTGCTTGACTATAAGACCCTTTTGGTCGCACTTCTTTCTATGGTCACAATTGGAGTGCGTTACCTACCCATCGGTCTAAGGAATATCAGTCATTAATTACATTCAACCAGGTGATGGAAGGAAGTATCATCGATTTTCGTATTCATCTCCAAGGGATAACTAATATTCAAGGTCCTCGCCGCAAATGGCAACAAATCAGCGCAGGCACTCGTCAGCTAAACACTCAAAGTGCATTTTTGAATCTTCTTGCCCGTACTACCTCCCCTTGTACTCCATCACCCTGGATTGGAAGCAGACCATCGCGGCACCAGGAACACAGTAGTCTGACCACAACCAATTGCCGCTCCTAGTGCTATGAGTTCACATACGGCGTCACAGCTGATATTGCAGCTGCGATCCAGGAAACCACTAATCTGTACGAGTGCTTAGAATTTTATCGCCAGGCCCAAGAATCTGCCCCAGATGATCTTCTCCAAGCATGTGAAGATCTTGGCAATCGGCTGCTTTCTTGGACCTTGGGCTCCGATAAGATTCCCGCTTTCAACGACAAGCGTGCGGAGGAATTCGATATCTTCAAACACCATTCCCACGCATGGCATGGCGCCGCCATGGTATTCTACCTAAATTGTATCCAAGGTGCCAAAGCTCCAGACTTGGTAGATGAGGTTGCCACGGTTGCCTCTCATATGCTCGCTATTGAAGAAATCAAATCGACGCGTGTTTCCAACCAGATGGCTCCAGTCACTTGGCCGGCTTTATAGCATCATGCTGTGCATTTGATCGAGAGCCTTGGGAAACATGGTGGTTGGATGTGCAAAGGTACGGCATAGGGAGTATTCGAAGGCAGTATAGTATTGTGCAGGAAATATGGTCTGAAATGGACACTCACCCCTCTGAGGGGTGGTTGCAGATTCTCGATCGCCGGAAGATTCAGGTGCTAGCTGTCTGATCTAGTGCCATGAAGACTAAAGTACATGTAAGGCAGTGCATATTTCAGAGTTGAACAATGTGCTTATATATTCACCCGGCCAGTCCAGGTCTGTGCCGACATTGTCTCCGACTAAACTCCTATATACATCAACCCACAGCGTATCCCGCGAGGATACTCATATGAGACCAGATCAACAAACTGTTATGGTCAGTAAAGCGGATAATATGAAAGAACAAGTGGAACTATGGTCACTCACTGCCAATAACACCATTAACAGGGATATCAATGGAGGTCGTATAACTAGCCGCATCGCTCAAGAGGTACACATATGCACCACCGAGCTCCTGTACCTCCGCAAGTCTGGGGAATCCACCATAGTACTTCAGCTGCTGCTCCCAGTCCGGCTGCTGAGGCACCCAATACGTCATCGCAGTCTTTACTAGACCCGGAGAAACACTGTTCACACGAATACCGTACTGGGCCCATTCCATGGCCAGGGTATGGGTCATGTTGCGAATACCCGCTTTTGAGGCACCATACGGGGTGGAGGGTACTCTCTATTTTTGTACATTAGTGATCGGTAGCACAACACAGATCGTCCTTATGCAGGGTACCACTCACCTTATTGGGGCGGTATGAGGCCATCGAGGCTGTAAAGACGATGGAACCCTTGATCCCCAATTTAATGAAGGCGCGCGCAGCCGCCCGCGCGGTGTAAAATGCGCCGAAAAGATTAACATTAAACAAGGTCTCAATTTCTTCCTTCGTAAAGTCCAGAGCTGCCTTATGGTGTGTACGTCCTGCATTTACTACCATGCCGTGTAGTGCACCTGCTTCTGCAATAATCTTCTCGACGGCCGCTGTGATCGTCTCCTCCTCGGTCACGTTTGCGTTCAATGCGTGAAGCCTGCCCGGATAACGCTGCGAGAGTGCGACAAACTCTTCGCCCGTCTCGCCGATGTCGATTGAGTAGACTCTTTCTGCGCCGTTGGACAGACAACATTCTGCGATTCCGAGTCCGATACCCCGGTTTGCACCAGTAACTGAACACATAGCAAGCAGTCAATGGGAAGGATCACGCAGAGCCTCCTGTGTGGGGTTCTTACTTGCGATCACTTTTGATGCTAGAGTCACTTGTGTCTGGGGTGCGGCGGAGGCCTGGGAGGCGCTGGTAGCTTCTGTAGAGGACATGGTGGTAAGATCCGGCAATGAGATAACAGCGGTAGAGAAATGATTGACCCAGTGGCAGTCCTATCCCGGCTATTTATAATAAGCCAGTCTTCCTCTCGACGGAAGCATTGTAAATATACCTACAAAGAATCATATATAATTCAATACCCCACAAGGGTCAAAACCCCGCGTTGATTCTCCGCATACAGAACAAGATCATCTTCTAGGGCTCTCCAGTCCTCGAGACGAGACACTTGTGGGGGTCTGCCAAGAACGCGCACCGAGACGAGGCATCTTTTCAGTAAGAATGAATCAATGGGTAAGAAAATCGTCTCATAATATGTGGGGACGTCAGTCTTTGTCTTTTATTCTTTATTTTCTTATATATTAGTAGTAGACTTTGGCCTTCCTTGAATTCAGTAGCCTTGAGTCATATAGCTGCCCCTGCCTGTCCATGATGAATGTGCTTAAGGAAGAGTTACGATATGTTGGACTGGATATGCTTATTACCAAACACAAGTGGCCTCTTCGGTATGGGCTTGTTGATCTCTCTGCGCCGAGGCGATTAAATTAAGAGCCTACATTATAGGGCAATTATAATACGGATACAGCTCACACAGAACTGTATATCAAGGCTGGAATTGTTGCAGATGTTGTTGGTGTCAAGATATACAGAACCAGCAGAACTGAAGGAATGAGAGACGTCTTAGTAAGCGTACTTCGAACCCTCTTTCACTTCATAAGATGCTCGTATCAGCGGGGTATTTCTAGCTTCGGTCTAGTAGTACTCTAAACCTCCAAACAGCTGATCACTTACTCCAATCCACCTATATCACACAGGTTCAATCCGGATCAACTAGCTGGCTGTACTGCATCTAATAGAAAACGAAAAAGAAGCCTCGAAAAGAGGCAAGGTATTATCCGGGTCTCAGAAGAGGAAATACTATCAACATGCTCTGACGCCTACCAGACAGCCCCATATTAGAGCCCACAGACAAATGACGTCACTGCCATTTACTTTTGGAGATACAAAGATTGTCAGTGCGTTGCGGGACTCGGGCTATTGGGGTTTTGGAGACATAAAGTACTTTTTCACCAGGGAGTCAAAGAGCTGCTTCAACATTCCTCTTTCGGTTAGTATATACTAGAACTTTGTGCTTATAACATCCAGACCCCAGGAACTCCAAGCTGACTGTTTCCCAACAAGCCAATCCTACAGATAGCAAGACTTTGAAAAGCAATTTTTCCAAAATGCCCACTATTCCTGCCCGTCGGTTTGCGATGCAACGACTGCACGTTGGCCAGTCGATCAAGGTCATAGACTCCTCGGGCGGTCAGGTCATCGACACCTGGGCTTTTACTATTCCCTCAACACCCACCTTTCCCAGATATATGTCAATGACTCACACTCGGTCTACCTTGCATAAACTTCTTCCATCCGTTAACGAATCATTCCTGGACAACAGACGGGATCCTATTTTGACAATTGTCGAGGACACATCTCCTGGCGTGCACGAAGTTCTCTACGCTGCTTGCTCTCCAGAACGTTACCTCCAACTTGGCAGCGATAAAGACCATGATAACTGCGCCGGTAATCTTCGCAGTGCTGTACAGCAATGTGTTGAACCATCATTCAGCTATATTACTGGGTTTCTAGAGAGCGGCTGGGTACCCGATCCACTGAATCTATTCATGAAGGTCGACATCAATGGCACCAAGCTACAATGCATGAACCCGGATAGCAAGGTGGGGGACTATATTGTATTGAAAGCGGAGCAAGAATGTGTTGTAATTATGAGTGCCTGTCCGATGGATTTAAGTGCTTGTAACGGGGGCGAGCCCAGCAGCGCAGATTTTGAAGTTCTTTGAGTGGTTACGTTCGTGAGGTCCATACTCAAATACGCGTGCTTAAATTAGCGTTAAATTTCCCAAGTTATGTTGCTTTTCAGTATAAACATTTGTACCAGTTCTGCAACCAGCTGTATCAAGCGATGAAAGAGGTGGTCCGCTACGTCCACCGTCTTGGGGAAACACCAGATCCCACACTGTAGTCCATTCCTTTAACGACAAACAAAGATATGAATGTTTTGGCTTGGGTAGAACTTACAGATAACCCAGACTACGCTGTGATTGCGCTTTTCAACTGCTTCGCTGGATCTCCGATGCGGGGATGAGTTGACCCACTTTATAGCGGTCTTTCCTGGAAGGGGAATTAGTGGCTCCGAATACTGTATCAGGATTTGGGAATAGAATCATTGTATCAGACCTATGCAAGCTTACTTATAAGCCATGTTGTAGGGTAAATTTCTTCTCTACTTCTAATTACTTGCGACTTTTTATTTCGAATTATTGGAAGTTTTTGACACAAGGTTAGCCAATTTAGCTGACTTGTTTGACTTTAGTTCAGAGAATCTAAACACATACAAAGATTATATTTAGGATAATCGAGGATTGACCAACTGTCCATAAAGCACGTTGATTAGCATCTCAGTCTTATCGAGTCCCATTTCAATCGGACTCAAACTACTACCGATACAACAGGGTGAACATCGACACAGAACACCATGACAAAACACTCCAACGCGTTCCAAGTCCACGATGAGCGCTTCCACTCCATCCTCGGTCAATCACCGTCGCTAGAACTACTAGCAGAAAACGAATCATACCCGTTCGCCCACGAAGCCGGTGTTTTCATTGCCTCCACCAACCATCTGTTCATAACCAGCAGCCGCATCACAGACGCCCGGGGCGAGCAATCCGTCCGCATCACCCGCGTGCATCTCAATGAAACACCAGTGAAATGTGAAGAAATCCCGACCAGCATCCCGCTCGCAAACGGCGGCGTGAACTACGGCGATGACGGGGTGCTCATATGTGGCCAGGGGTCCATGACGCAGCCCAGCGGACTCTATCTCATGTCCACGGAACCACCATACACCAGCAAGCTCCTGAAGGCGGACTTCTACGGCCGACCGTTTAGCTCCGTGAACGATGTCGTGGTCCACTCGGATGGGTCGATCTGGTTTACGGACCCGACTTACGGCTTTGAACAGGGGTATCGGCCGACGCCTTCATTACCGAGCCAAGTATATAGATGGCATCCAGCGAGTGGGAATATGCGGGCAATGGCAGACGGATTCGGAAAACCGAATGGGATTTGTTTCGCGCCTGATGAAAACACCGTGTATGTGACTGATACGCACGGGTTGCACGGTGATGGGAGTACAGATGACCAGAGGGTTTCTTCAATGTATGGCCTTTATTTTTAAATTATATGACTTTGCCATCGGGATGATATTTACTCACAAAAGTCAGTTAGTTATGCATTCGACGTATCGACCTACCACGGTGAACCCTTTCTTACAAACCGGAGGCTCTTCGCCATGGCCGATAAAGGTATCCCGGACGGGATTAAATGTGATCTAGACGGGAATGTGTACAGCGGCTGCGGTGACGGAATCAATGTCTGGTCTCCTGGCGGCGTTCTGCTCGGACGTATTCTGATCGACGGGGGGGGTTGCGAATTTCTGCTTCGGAAAGGGTGGTGAAATATTCGCATTGAATGAGCATCGGCTATGGAGGGTCCAGTTGGGAGGGGATGTGAAGGGTGCATTGTTATGGATTTAATATATACACATAGATTATTTAATTGACTATATTGCATGTATTGGGGTCATTTGCAGGGCGATCTAGTGACATCGCCTCGTCTTGGCTATGACGCTAAGGCATCCTGTCGGAAAAGTCTCCTATTGATCGATTCCTCATGGTCATGAATAAATGAACAATTAAAAGGGCATTTGGACTTTGAACCAAGTATTAAGTTTCTACTAGGAAAGGGCGGGGTAATATGGAGTCATGATATATTGGTCTAAATAAGTGGGATCCCAAGCATCTTCAAATATACAGAAACCACATCCTTTACATTCTTGGCAAAATATATTTACAAGTCATACAGGTCAGCGTCGTGTCCATACTGAACTGGAGGTTTCTGCTAAAACGAACCAAGGGAGGTTTGTACATATGGGAATCTAGTCAAATAAAGAATCATGACTAGGGGGAAAAGAATATTAATCTATATTAATCGGTATATCATGAACATCACCTACTTATACATCCCTCCCATAACCGATTACTCCAGCCAAGCCTCCACGGCCGACTTAAGAGCCTTCTGCAACCACTCGTCCTCATAACGACAGTCCATATCAAACCCATGATCCCCATCGCGTGAAGCCAACACAACCTTATCACCACTTGGCAGGCCCTTCGTAGCCTCAAGCAGCTGCACCACAAACTCCTCCACGTCCTCCAGAGGAACCACGGTATCTTGACGCCCGTGCCAAATGGCAATCCCTCCCCGTGGGATACTCAAGCCCGGTTCCTCCAGCTTCTTCGCAGGGTAGAACAACTCTCGGCATGAGGAAGCCTCTGTCTGACGCTCATAAAAGCCAGCCAAACGGCCGTGCTCAACAGCCGCAAGCATGAAGCCGAGCCGGGCAGGTGAGGTATCCGACGACACAATCGAACCAGAAGCCGCAGCAGCCACGGTGTCATCGATGACGGATTCGGGCGTATGTACGCCGAATGGTAAGATTGTGCGTGCCGCCTGGAAGCCTGCTGAGCTGGGGTTCGCCCACGGGTAACCGGCTGTAGAGGCACGGATCTGGGATGGATACGTCAGGGCGAGATAGAGGCTTAGCAAGCCGCCTGCAGAGTCACCGGTTGTGAAGATGCGGGTGAGATCGATCTCGGTGGGCGTGGTGTTGTTTGCGAGTAATTCGGTCAGAGCTGGGGAGTGGAGCCATTTCCAGAAGTCATCGATATCGTCGTAGATCTCTGCGCTGGTGGACTCGGGCATGAGCCGGTAGTTGGGGCTCACGATCACGGCTCCGTGCTTGAGGGCTAGGTCCGCTGCCCAGTGGGGGAAGAAATCCATGAACAAGGAGTCACATGCAACCTACGTGTTTCGTTAGTGACCATGCAATGCTGGTTGCGCTGGGGATAGTTACCAGGGCGCCGCCGTGGGTGCGGACCAGGGTCGGCCGTTTGCCGGTAAAGGGTGTTTGAGGAATCAGGATGTCCACTCGAATGGCATGGTCGCCAATTTGCTTGTATGTGGCCTGAATGATATCAAAGCCTTCGAGTTTCGGGTGAGAAGGGACAGACATGGTTATTGATTTAAGAGCTGTCACGGGATGCTGACTGGTGTTATATGAGGTGTTCCAGGAGGTTCTTGACAAACAAGTAATTTATGCTCTGGGGAAACATGTCGAGAAACTCCCGGTATTTATACACAGAATGGTTCATTTTGAGAATGGAGGATTTATCATCGTATGGCGTGAATCGGACCGTCGCATACTTACCTTAGGGCCAAGTTGCTCCGAGTTTGGAAAGTCCCCGAAGGTCATATAATTGCTTATCTAACAATTGGTTCCGAACGCACGGTCAATATTAAAGGGAATCGGATGGATTCCATTTGGAGACGACGCTAATTCATAGATCCTAACTTTATTGGTCAATCTGGCCCTAAATATGAGGCTAAATTTGTTTAATTGGTATCTTGTCAGCACTAATGGGCCAACTCATATTCAATTTGGGGGTCAAATTGGAAAAACAAGTTTTTACATTTCCCTCTTTTTGCCTAGCTCATTGATTCTCTCTTTTTTCTGATTGGCTACTTCGTATATAACCTATATCTTGATGCTTAAGCGCGCCGGATTGAGTAATTTGGTGTTCTAGAAGCATCCCCTGTTCAAGACAGGTAACACTCGCAGGCGATAAAAGAGGATATAAAATTCGGTCATGGTAGATTTCCAACCTTTTGCCTCAAAGCCTCTAAACTAACAGGTAACGCCCCGGAGAGATTGAAAACGAGCCAACATCCATTGGCTTTGCAGAACATGGTCGGTTTGTTTGTCTATATTTAGCTTCAACAACGCCAGTCACCGGACTAAATGTGGTATTCAAGAGCGTAGAAATAGATCATCTTATACAATAAATCCCAAGAAACCTAATGTGACAGAATCTATAGGAAATCATTTCAAACGAGAGTGTATTCCAAGTTTATGCGAAAGAGCACTGGAAGATTGCTTCGAATAGGTTTGAACTCATCACGTGGTTCGTGTCGGGCTGAAGAAATCATGATTAAACCTTATGATAATTTGCATACAAACAAAGCATCTCAAATATATTCACCACAAATAAATACCTTTAGTACGTCCACACGCATAATTTAAAATAAAAAATTGTCTTCATAGTACAAAGTCAAGAATGATGTCCTCCTTATGGCGCCGAATACTCCCCCAACGCGTGGCCAACACCGGCTCCCAATTACGCGACCACCAAGCCAACGAGCGCACCTTTCTCTCCTGGACCCGCATGGGCCTGGGCTTCGCAGCTATGGCTCTCGCCCTCGGCCGTCTGGATGCAGTCGACCGCATGCTGTCCTCCGCCCTGTCCAGCAGCAAACTGAACCTGGTCGTCGGGTCAGACAACGGCACAGCCACAGTTGCAGCCACCCCTGCGCAGCCAGGCGGTACCAGCCACAGCAACAGCCAAGAACATTCAAGCAGTTTATTATTTTTCGACCACAACGGCGGATTTTCTGCTACGACTCTCTGTCAAGCCATTAGTGTCTGGTCGTTCGGGTATGGTATTTTTCGATATCTGTCGGTGCGCAAGAGCTTGCTCAAGGGACAGTTCACACCGGCCATCTGGGGGCCGGTGCTTATGACGTCTGGGTGTTTGGGAGTGTTTGGGACTATGGGCATGTGGGTTGAACAGAAGAATGCGGCGAGGATGTCGAAACATGATTCGTGATCGTTGCTGGCATACAGAACTATCTGTGCGTCATGGAACGGCGGTTTGTATATAGTATTGAATTCGGATGACCTGGCGGTCCTGGGAAGACCGGTTACAACCAACTAGAGATAGATATACATCCTCTGAGAAAGATTCGTGTGAATGAGGAAAGTCGAACATATAATGATAGACTATACAGTAACAATGAGTCATCTCTCCGAAAGCGATCATGTTGTCGGTGACGATATTGTAGGTTGGACAAATCTAAGGGCCTTGTATGAAGTAGGCTTTGTGAAATCATCCACTCGGGATAAGACGGAATTATTGTTTCTTCAGCCATCTCAGAAAGCCCTTTACCGATAAATGGTCCAATCGCTAATCAATGTTACCAAACTTTGGCCCCTATCGAATCCCATTTGCATATCCAGAGCTCCCACTTCTTCCACGCCTGAGACTAACGGATAAATGTCATACAGCGATCGTCGATCATTGTCAATTCGGGAATAGCAGACGACGGGGCAAGATTGCAGTTTCAATCTAACTCAGGTTATCGACACAGATACTAATCTATCGATAACCTAGTTGGAAGCCGGAGAAGCGCACTCTTCATATCTCAGGGTTACCCAAGCCTGCCGTCGAGACAACTACGATACGGTACATAAACACAAAGATAAGGAAAAATCGTAATTGTTTCATCATATAATCTAATCAATCATCTAACTTTTATCCCACAAGTACATGGCTTAACCACTGTAGTCGATAGTAACAGCGAGACGGACCGCGCCATCGCCAGAGAGGTTGCCACCGATACCACCGATGTCAGTCTCGGCGGTGGTGTAAGCGTTGTTCACCGATGCGGCACCAGGAGTGATAGAAGAGCAGGTACCACTGAAGACGTCACACATCTTCATACCCTGGACAGTGAGGCCAGCGTTCTGGGCGACAATAGCAGAGACATCGAAGCCGGACCAGCCCGAGTTACCGGCACTGCCAAAGTCGAATTCACCCCAGGTGGAGGCATATCCGCCGTCGGAGTCGGTGGGAATGCTACCGGGAGCAGCAGCGAAGCCACCGTTCGTGTCTTCGTCGAAGGCAACGTACTTGGTCTCGCCGGCGTTGAGGGTAAAGCTCACCGCGGCGTTGCCGTACCAGCCGTCCATCTTGCCGTCAGGGCCATACTTGTTCCAGAAGACAACCGACCAGGGCTCGGTGTTCTGGCCCGAGATGGCGACCACGTGCTTGTAGTTCGAGGCATCGCTCTCCGACACCTGAATGATATTGCTACCCCAGGGGTTGCCGACGTTGCCTTGGTAGGTGATATCAGAGCCGCTGTTGGCGGTGGAAGAGCCAAATCCGGCAGTAGAGTAGGACCCGCTAGCAGGGGTGGCGGTCCAGGATCCCCCGGAACCACCAGAGCCAGAGGAAGAGGGTACGGCAGACACAGTGGCGGATGGCGACTGGCGTCTTGCGTGGCCGTGCACGCGGTGGGCAAGGGAGCCAGTAGTGAGGGCTGCCAGCAGCAGGAGGGACTTGGTGAACTGCATTTTGATAAAGAATGGACTTCGCGTCAAGCGATTGGTAAGGATCGAAGAAGTACGAAGTGAGAAGTGTTACAGCTGGTGTAGCTGAGATTGCTTTTTTAAAGAATGTGGGTAGTTGGAAGAAAAAATCCAGAAAAAGGTGATGACACAAAGACCAAGTTCAGGTCCTCGACATGGGAATTGGGCCCCTCTATATAGCCTTCTGGAAT